AGGTTAGGGTACAGGCACCCCTTGGTACAAGTGATCATGCAGCAGTTAGGTTTACACTTGTCGAACCGGTATCGTACATCGAATATGTATATCGTAGGGACTTTAAGCATGCAGATCAGGATAGGTTGGTTGAATATTTGGCTAACGTCGATTGGTACGGCTCGTTTAACACTGTCAATAATGCTAACGACATGTATGAATTGTTTTTGCACATCCTTTATCACGCCATTGATCTTTTCGTCCCCATTGTTAAGGTTCCGTTGTCCAAGGTACATCTTCCTAACTACCTTGTGTTCTACACGACCGAAGGGAGCGAGCATGGACTAAAGCGGCTGATTATGAGAGCATGAGCAACTGGGAAAACTTCAATAGGGTTAATGCTATATTTAATAAAAGACTATCGAAATACAATGCAGCCGTCGAGCGAAGAATTATTGAATCCGGAAAAAAACTCTCTTTTTTTCAAACTTATTCGTTCTAGACTCAAGGAAGAAAATAAAATAGGGGTCCTTTTTGCGGATAATGGTTCCGTGATAACAGATAACTTTGAAATTGCGGAGCGTTTTGCTGATGTTTTTGAAAGTTCCATTCAAAAGCACTGTAACACTGATGGTTTGCCTAATACCCCATGTTGCGCCACTATGGAGGATGTGCCTTGGTTCTGCAGTGAAGAGATCTATAGGCTACTGATCACTTGGCCCAAGTCAACATCTTCGACACCTGACTTGCTTCCTCTGGGATTCATCAAGTCTGTAGCGCATTTGATTGCGGGGCCCCTCCAGTTTCTTTTCAACCTTAGTATGATTAAGAGCGAGGTGCCGCACAGATGGCGTATATCTTACGTGACTCCACTCCCCAAAAAGAAACCCTATACCTCCCCTCATGATTTCCGTCCTGTTAGTATAACCTCTTTGTTTGCCAGACTGTTTGAAAAGGTACTGAAGAAGGCTATCGTTAAGCATTTAGACAGGAACCAAATTATTGATCCCTCCCAACATGGGTTCCAGAGTGGTAAATCTACCACAACGGCCATGTTACAGTGCCTCAATCACTAGACACAGAATCAAAGGATTCAATACCGATGTTATCTACCTGGATTTCACCAAAGCCTTCGATAAGGTACCACACTCTAAATTGTTGCATAAATTAAGTTTGGTAGGCATTCATCCACTTATTGTTGCGTGGATCAAAGCCTTCCTCAAGGATAGATCCTTCGTAGTTCGGGTTCAGGATACTTTTTCCAAGCCAAGGAATATGTACAGCGGTGTGCCACAGGGCGGCGTTTTGTCTCCAGTGTTGTTCAATATTTATACTCATGAGCTTCCTAGTATACCCAGGTTAAATGGAGTCTCCTGCATCGCTTTTGCAGATGATTTTAAACTATATAGTGTGGTGAAACAGGAGCGTGATCAAACGCACTTGCAAAGAGCTTTGAACGAAGTGCATAAATGGTCGCAAGAATGGTCTCTACCTATTTCCAAGGAAAAAACCAAAGTAATTCATATCGGACCCAAGACCTCCAATCTTAAATTCACGTATTCGCTGGGAGAAGTTTATCTTCAAGAAGTTGATTCAATAAGGGATTTAGGCTTTCAGGTCAGAAGTGACCTCACTTTTGATGACCATTGTAAATTGATTTCGGATAAAGCCATAAGATCGGTGTACAGTCTGTTCAGAGCCTTTTCGGTCAAGGAAGTGAATATCTTCTGAAAGCATATAAATCATTCATAAGGCCCATGATGGAGTATGGAACTGTTATTTTTTATCCTTATTTGCGCAAAACAATCGACTATATGGAGAAGGTACAAAACAATTTCAGCGTGAACTTTTTCTTCGGGTAACCGGTTACAGATATGATCTCGTACCCGACAGTAAGACTTGTAACGTCAGACTGGGGCTTTGTTCTATTGATCATAGAAGTCGCAAACTTGATTTCCTAATGGCGCATAAAATCGCATATGGAAAGTGCGGTCTAGATTTTAATGCTCTTTTTCCTACAAGGAGATCAAATATTAATAATATTAATATTAATAATACAAGAGGTGGATGTAGGAAACTGATCATTTCCAGGCCAAAGTTCAAGGTTCGTAGAAATTTTTTCACTTGCCGGGTCGTTCATGACATGGACAAGCTTATTAGAAAACGATTATTTCCTGCTAAGATGTCTTCATTTGAGATTGTGCTAAGGGATTATCTACAGTCACATGATGATATTGTTACTAACACGGGTTTAAGTTCTACTACCTAAATTTTGTAGCTGTGTGTTGATGATTTGTTGTTCGATGTGTTCCAATTATGATTTGCCATAGGGGTAACCCTATGTAATAAATGAAATGAAATGAAACTTCTGGAACCGAGTGTTGGCCTGGGCCGAGGAACGCCATGCCGTAGTATCTGCCAGCTGGACCAGTATCTACCTCTGGACAACGGTGGGACCTTCATACCTAGTTCTCTTTATATATATTTTCACTATATATTTGGTTGTTTTCTTTATATCTATAGATACTATTGGTTTATATATTATGCTATACTATACCTACATTTACACAATTCCTTATATACTTTCCCTTTATACACTTTGCTTTACATACTTTTTTTGAAATAGAAGTCCGAGAACGGACTTGTTGGTAAATAAGGGAGGTGTAAGCATCTTCCTTAGCATCTCCGATGGAATGCCAGAAGATGTGATTCATATCTTTAGGGCGTGACCGACGACACGAAGCTTGAGGAGTTGCTCTTTCTCCCTGACACCCACAGGTCGCCTCTACCGTACCCCTCCACGACTCTGGCTGATGCTGTCTCGATCCACTGCTACTTCCGATCTACCTGCTCAACCTCTTCCCTGATAACCTCCTATTGCCGACTGTTCATATACTGTCTTCTGTCAACAATGATCATAAGGATAAACTACTTAGTACTGATCGGTGTTCTGTTCTTGCCAGCCAGAAGCACGCCTTCACTGCCGCTACGCTTACTCGTGTCAGTGGCTGAGCGGTAATCTTCTAGGTCTCGCGCAGGGTCCCCGCTATTCCATCGCCTCGCGATTTTTCAAACACACAACATTACGAGTTCTTTGCATGCCAATCATCTCGGATTTCAGCTGCTATAATTGACGATTATTCGTGTCGGAAAACTACCACAACCGAAATACAATACAACCTTCCCGGTATCGAGGTAGAGTTTTAAGCTTCTCGATGCTCGAACTGAAGCCTGTGTTGTTTCTCGCTACTCGAGGTAGAGCCTGTGGGCTTCACGGCACTCGAGGTAGAGCCTGTTGGCTTCTCGGTACTCGAGGTAAAGCCTGTTGGCTTTTCGGTATCGAGATAGAGCCTGTTGGCTTTCCGAGGTAGAGCCTTTAGGATTCTCGGTGCTCGAGAAAGAAAGAGCCTTTGAGCTTTATCGCTAGGTCCTCACATCCGCAGAACTTTCTCCATCACAACCCATCTTAGTGCCTTTAACTAAAAACTGCTAGATAGCAGTTGTTTTGTGAGTCAATTTGTTTTCCTACCAAAACGTAGAGACCAACTCTATCTGTAAAAGAAAATCATAGAAGTCTTGCACATCCGTTTCAAGGAATTGTTGTTCAGCATTGATGCGTGCCTTGGTAGGTTGAAGCTGTTATGCTACTACCTTCTAACGGAATGCGTAGGGCTTCTCACGGCATTGGTCGAAACATTGCAATGTATGCATTTCCACTACCGGATGTTGCTATCGTAAGGTGCTTACAAATAACTGATCAAATCAAATAAGTCAGAAGCTGCTCCTTTTCCCCTGATCCATCAATATGCGTAGCTGTTCGTATCAAGATCAACGTTGTGAGCATGCATTGCTATGCTTTGCATCGTGTAGATTTTTGCTTTGATGACTTCTCATGACCAACTACATCAGGCCCATACGTTCCTAGTCCTTGGAAAGTGCGAATAGCGGTTGAACAGCGCGATACACTCATGAAAAAACAGGCATCCACTCAGAATCTCTCAAGTCAGACTTTATCCTCAGATCAATGGAACTTTTGAAAATATTGCAATACAAGTCCCAAGTCCCAACCATCAATCGAATACAAAAGCTTCGTTAAGTTAAACAAGATTAGAAGAATCCTCTCCAGTTTCTGACAGAAGCTAACATTGGCACCAAATCAAGCAATAATAGAAGTTCTAAGTTTGCCAAACTTACTGAGAGAAGCCAGATTCAGACTTCGAAACACTTTCTTGCACATGTCAAAGAATAGGCTTCAATGGTACTTTTTTCCAACTTCAAACAGACAAATCTTAATGAATACATAAGGCGATGAATCGTTCCTTCACTCTCTAATAAGAAGTAAACTTTAGATACCTTCCTATTATAGTAAGCTTTCAATATACTGAGGAGGTATTCATACGGAGTTTTACCCCACCTTACATCTTTGACATTGATTTGTGGAAGACAACCTCAAAAAAACTTTTGACAGCATTCACATTACTTTGTCAAAAGCGTAGAGCAAGTCCATAATGTCTAGCGTGCCCCAACAGCGAAGATCCAGCGCGCCGGCTAATTTCGCCTTGGGGCATGGGGCGCGTTTTGCGCAGCCATGTGTAGATTTAAGTATACAGTCTTTAACCCGGAGTAGGCGAAACACTCTAAGTAAAGCAGCGTGTCCGCACCGCTACTGGCTCAGTGAGATAGATTAGATTGAAGAGACGCAAACTGCAAAGCGGCGCGAATCGTTGCAAAGTGGACTCCCGCCAGTCCAATTTTCCGCCTAAACTGAGTTGAAACTTGTTATAGTTGGTTTCATCCCGGATTAGGCGAAACATTCTGCGTGGAGCAACTGTGCGCATCGCTGGAGGCCTCGCGAGCGCATAACGCTGGCACTTTGCCACAAAGACTGAGGAGGATGAAGAGACGCAGGCTTGGGTTCTCAGCGCGATAGGACATACTGTAGCTGCGAAATGACGCGAACCATTGCGAGGCGGACGCTCGCCAATCCAATTTCCGCCTAAAGCGGGTCGAAACTTACTGTACGTGTAAAAATTCGCGCCAATCGTACCTCCTCGTCAAACAGAGCCGCAATGTAACTCTTGTATATGCTTGAGATGATTTGCCTATGATAAGCATGGCGATACCTTGACTGTCTATAAGGTGCTGTCATATAGATGCTACGAAACTTAAGCGCTCTTTTCTGAGCTGATTTTCTTCCCATCCAGAAGTGGTATTTTGTTATCCTTCTAGGGGATGGAACACAGACGAATTCGACTTGGTGAGCAGTGTATGTTGGATGAAGACATGCAAACAGAGTTCAAAATGCACACGAAGAATTCACTACTCGAAATTCCTCCTCGCTGTCAGGCCTTCCATAAAGGGCGCCTTGTGCGCAAGATGCAGCCTACAAGCAAGTAAGTAACTATTGTCTTTTTGGCTTTCTTACTGAAGACATGTGGGACAGCGTTGCTCATTTGCTTTGGAATAAGGATCCTTCTCGCCACAGTAAATCCAGTGTTTAGAGGTAGGAAAAGCTCACTTTAGTTCGAAGACGACGAACATGGGGGAAGTCGAGTGCATCTGTCTCTATCTTATCTAAATCCGTCGTCCTGAGATTCCCGTAACAAGACAATGGTTACGGGTCTATTGTATGCCGATCATTTTGCGGACTAACTATCACAACCGAGATGCAAGGTGATCGACATGCATTGGACTCGTAACACTTGTCTTGTCGGGAAAATGAGGCGACGAGATCGCGTGAACTATGCCCGAGGCCCACCAGCTCGTTTTTTTTTAGCGACGTAATGTGCTTGGGAATGGTAACTATTCAGGAGGTGATGAAGCGGCAATCTTGCCTTAAAAATACTTATAGTCCGAAATTTAGCAACTTTTAGGACCATCTCTGCGTTTTTGAATACTGAAGGTGGCACAATCTACGTGGGAATTGATGATCACGCTGTTATCTGTGGAATCAAGCTGACTGCACCCATGGTAAGAATGTTTCACACTTATACATATTTTCGTAAAGCTTTAAATACTGTTGTTAAGGATTGAATACTTGAAGGCAGCATCCAGGATCCGGGCCTATGGGGATCTCACTTGGAGGGTAATCTTGGAGCCCTAACTAAGACACTGCCCAAGCGGCAGCTCAATTGGTGAACTCACAGTTGAGATATTCGCCCCCAAACTGGACCCCGGGATCGCATTCGCATGGAATCATGGCGCGACACGCGTGAGTGGGAAACTGATGTTTCGGCTATGAATCCATGCGAATACGATCCCGGGGTCCAGTTTGGAGGCAATATCTCAACTGTGAGTTCACCATTTGAGCTGCCGCTTGGGCAGTGTCTTAGTTAGGGCCTCAAAATTACCCCGTATGTCCAGATTTGCCTGGACGCTCCTTTAAGGTGGTAATTTTTAGCTTCTCATAGTAAGAATATGGTATACATTATATACTAGTGCCTTTACGGCACCAAGCTCGCATATGTGAAATCTCTGAGCTCAAAACATTTTTTGAATAGGAGATCGGAAGCTCTATAAATCAATTAAGAGGCGGACAACTCTTCAGCTGATCTTTATGACTACCGAATGCCGGGTTGGTCAATCTTCTGAACTTCCGCAGCAGTGTTTTTAGATCTCGTAGTCTAGTTGTTTAGTGAGGAGACAGCCTGGTGTGCTGTACGTTTTGGAAATGTAGGGGTTATTTTTCAATTTTGTGTGACCGTCAATGTTTCATCGTTATTACACTATGCATGCGTTTTATGCAGCTTCTCCATGAAGTTTTTTTTTTCAGAAGGACCACTTCATTCTTTCTTTGAACCATTCCTTGTCACAGTTCACTCCACCAGTCCCTCATGAACTTGTTCAAGGTATATCGCTATGTATTTGCTTTCGGTATAACATTTTACTTCTCCTAGTGCACTTTTTGGAAATAGACGACTCTGGCAGCAATGAAAACGCAGAAGTTGCTCCATCGCCCGCAGAGATGCCAACCGCCTATGATGCTTTGAACGGTAATGAGGACAATAGTGAAGCAGAATTTCAAAGACTGGTGACTAAGGTGAACCGAATTGATATGATTAATATATCAGAGATTATTGTCGATGGTATAAATTACTACTGTTTGTCATAAATTAGTAGTTAAGTGGCAAGGTATGATGTAAAACCGATTCATCGTACGCAGAGACGGGGCGCCATTGCAACACCTTCGGCGTCTTTCAGTTCAAAGTGCAGTCCCTGCGCGCGCTGAATGGTCAATATATAGCAAGGTGTATAACATTGATTAGGAGGGACCACGTGCACACCTGCTAGGATGGTCCTGTCTTTGCGATTTCGCTGATCTCGAGGCCAAGCTGTACTTGATTGTCATCAAGGTAAATTGTTTAAATTTGCATTCAAAGTTTCCTCGGCGCTTTCCACATTAGTTGACCCAAAATTTGAAACCACAGGTTTCGCTAAAACTATGAACGCTGTTTACGAATATCACACTCATTCCGCACGTCAATGCTATCCGGGGGCTACGGTAGGGTTACGGTGGCTGGTCAAAATCTCGGGTTTGCCCAAACTTCGTCACAGGAGGTTTGGCACGCTGAATATGAATGCCATGTTTGTCTTACGGTAGCGCATTATCCCAGGTTACGGTGGGCATACGATAAATGGAAAAAATTGCGAATTTGCCTCAAATATTCGCTTAGGGGCTCTTGAACAGGCTAATTACAAATATCACGCTGTTTCCGCGTCTCAAACTTTTGCATAATCACGATAGATATGCGGTAGTGGCTAAACTGATAGATATGCTAAGATTATGCATGGAGATCATCTGACGTGCTGATTGCGTATATTGCGTCCATCTCGCATGATAGAGCCTTCTCGTAGATTATTGGGATCTAAAACTGAGCTTAAAAGCGGAGAAATTGCTCTTTCAACACTGTAACCTACCGTCGCTTCATCAATAAAGCATTGTTGCAGCGAAAGAGCATGATATTCGTAATCAGTCCGCTCAAGAACCCCTTTCGGCAGAGTCTTGAGCAATTCCACAATTTTTAGCCACCTACCGTATGCCCACCGTGACCTGAGAAATTGGCACCGTAGGAAATGAACATAATATTCATGTTCAGCGTGCCAAACCTATCTAGACGAAGTTTGGGGCAAATCCGTGATCTTGACCCCTGCCGTTATCCTACCGTAGCCCCACCAGATGGCACTGCCGTACGAAATAATATTTGTAATCAGCGTGCAAAATAACCTCTCTACACGGTAATTTAGCGAAATCCGCGATTTTCATTTTTTGGGTCAGCTAATATGGAATAGTACCGTTTCCTCTTTCTTTTCTCGGCCATGCTATTCCTGTTTTTAACCAAAGTACATTCTGCTAGTAGGTTTATCAAATATGTTTGCGCTGCTCTTCAAACCTACTCCACATATTTTAGGTTCCATAGCTGTTCTTCAGGAATACTATTGCGAAGCAGTTTTGCAAGTACACTTCTCTAGGTTCACAAATCTACCGATAGAACTATTTATCAGAATGAGGAAGGGCTAGCCTATCGCCGAAGTAATGGTGCAAATCAGATGATGACCATAAACGATCTCAACACTTTCATACAGACTGATCTTATTGAGTAAGTCTGTTATGAATGCAGATTGTCTCATCGATGAAGTATTCTAGAGAATATGGCGGTTGGTTGGATTGGCTGAGAAAGTTGGGCAAATTCATAGGGATTCTTTGAACTGAATCGTATCTATTGTATCACATTGCCGCTTCTTCAATAAGTAAGCAAATTCGACTTCGTTTCATTTAAGGTCATCTTGATCCGAAGTTTGGTAACTTTCATGTTATGCTGCTACTCATTAACTGATGTACCAACAAGTTTCACATTCAGCTTGCTTTGTTGGGTGCAAAAACACCTCCGTGAGCACTTTAACGACGGCTGAGTTATTAGCGTCATCGGAGAAAATAACTTCTTCGCCTTCTTTGAATAGCGTATGTTTTTTCGGTCTCATCTCAGTTGATGTTGTAGCTGCATACATTGATCAAATTTCTTGAGTTCAAACCTTTATTTTCTTGCATTTAATTATGAGTCGAAGATTTTGGAAATCTCTAAAGCTTTGTTTTTTGATCTTTGTTCTTTGTGAGTTTGGTATCCGTCTTCTTGTTAATGAGCCTTATTAATTTTCAAGCTGTAGTAAAACTGTCTGTGTAAAGTGTAGTTCTACCATATCCATCACCGAATGCTAGTGGATTCTTCATTTTGGGGATATATTTTCCAACATTTTTTCATGACCATGTGCTGAACGAAAAGCTACAGTGCCTAAACATGGGTTGCCACTTACTCTTCCCCCTCCGCCCCTTCTCATCTCGAAGCTCTGGAAGCTGGACATTTGTAATTACACCGTACTATAGAAACCTATTGATCCTCCTAAACATTAACATATTTGAGTTTGGATCTATTAAGCTCCAGATTTGGCACCCGTAAGCATGGTAGAAACTGCGTGCTCAGCTATGTTGCAACTGTTTGCCAGTTGAATCCAGTTTTGTTTTTCAAGGATATTTTAGCTTTCATCACTCCATATCGTATGTTACTTATCGTAACACTGTAGAAACGGCCTACCGTGCGGAATTGGCAGTATCGTAGAATTCCTGCGGAGATTTGCAGTGATAACCGAGATTTTGACCAAATACCATGGGCCTAACATAAACTGAAGGCATAGGCATACCCTGCCTAACATAGACTGAAGAAAGCATATCTTTCGTCACAGCTTTTTAAGTAATACACCTTACAGAAAATCATGCAACAAAATGGTGTCGTATAATCTACGGATTTTTTGTACATAAAAAGACAAGCCCAGCTTTCTGTAGCGCAATTTAAGATATACCATTAAAGCAAAAGGTACAAGGTTAGTAATTACTTGAAACTAAAGCTGGGTTGAAAATGACATGAATTTTGCGTGTAATAGCACGTGCATTTGGTCTAATCAGCATCTCCTTACCATAACAATTCAGTGATTATCTTACTTCAACATTCTCAACAAATTTAGGATGGGTCTGCTAAGGCTACGTCTCAAAAATCCTCAGCATGGCTATACGCTGAGATAGAGATTTGCGATGTCAGCACTCGGCAGAGCAACTTTCCGGCATGGCCGTTGATTCTCTCTCATTGCTTTCGTGCCGTTTCTTCCATATCGAAGAAATCCCTTTCTATCGTGCGTTCACAGCGACCACATATCAAAAGCAAAGTCGTTGATGGATTCTTCAACGGATAGCAATTGCCAGACACAGCCACCTGAAGAGAGTGGTACCATGTAGCGACATCTGTGTTCCTCGATGCAGTCGTCTGTACCGTTAATCAGCGTCATTAGTCAATGCTGCTCGTCTCACGCACTGTATTCGTTGTTATCTGATCAAATTTGGAGGAGCTGGCTGTCGACATATTCTTGTGAAGCATAATACTGCTTTCTCACTCAAAAACCATTAGTCGTAGATTTCTGTGCTTTACGGTATTTGCATAATAGAGCTGTATATTCTATAGAGAATAGCGTGTCCAAAGTTCCTAATTATCATACTTTATTTCTTCCTATACATTATTTATTCGCTGTATGACCGTGAAGCCACAAAGGCTAGAAAATTTACCAAAAACTCGTCTATTTACATGGTTGGGGTAATGTCTTGCATATCTTTTGGGTCCATCACCGGGGCATGACGATCCTTAAAAAATCGACGTCGACTGCGGAAACGGGTATGGTCAAAAGCAATTTTAAGAGTTGTAATTTTTGTGCGCATGTTGTAAAATTTGAGCACGGCTGCGGTTTTGAAGTGCACAGCCTCCTTATTCAGACTGATCACCCCTTGGATGACATTCATTGTGCACTGAGAAAAATGGGGGGCAGCCAACATGAACGATAGATTGTGCCAGCCACATGCGTGGCGTAGGTCAAATATTTTCTGGATTCTATATTTACGCCACGTTAATGTTTAGGATTTTGGAAAAAACGCTGTGAGCTGGTATGCCTCAGTTCTTACTATTCGACACCATTTTCAACCCAGTGAAGAACATATCGCTTCAAAAAATAAGACTTTAGACGCGGGATATTGACAACCGCACGAGTACAGCATGCTTATTTCCAGCTATCGTTCATCTTGGCATACACCCAGAAAAATGGCAGCAAAAAGAAAATTTTTGAAATTTTTATCACTGCACAGACTTCCCTTTTCGGTATGTAGGTCAAATAAGGCTTGACATCGATAAAAACTGAATGCTCGTCTGGAAAGCTTAGGATTTTTTCTACAGAATCATACAAAAAATCTTTCGTTAAGATTCAACCGAGTGCGAAAATAATGAGTCTGAAAAAATTCCAAAACTGCCCAAGAACTTTCTTTACAACCTAATATCAATGAATAACACAGCAAAGCCTATGAGAGGCCTGTCTCACCGCCAAGCTGATCGCATAAGATTCTAACAGTTTAATTACATAGAGGATTTACAACAAGATTTATTATGTCACGTACAATTTCTGCAGTTTTAAAAATGAAGACTTCAGGAATATATCAAATGTACAGCAGGTCATCTTACAACGACAAAAATATACTTGACCGATGTTATGCAAAAAAATACACTTGAGCAACCGGTAGCTTTGGCACTGAGCAACACTCTATTGGCACATTTGAGATTCGTTCATCTGTTCTGATTCAATCAACTTTGAGCGAAATTTTAGCGGGTTTCGATGGCGATGTTCGGAGTTTTGACTTTGTCTCAGACTTCAGTGGATTTCCCATCAAGTTCAGTTGTAGTAACGCTGGGCAGGACGTATATAAACGGTCGACATCTATCTCTTAACCAAAAAGTGTTGAACCTAGAATATTTTCACCGAAAAACAGTTAACCAAGATTACCTTCAATTCGATTTCCCGAAAGATCAAGTATAGCGAGATTTTTCATACTGAATATACCATGAGGGAACGTAGTTAGTTTATTGTTAGCCGCATTTATTCCCCGCATTAAAGTCCATTGCTCAAACTCCTCTGGAATTTCCTCAATCTCGTTTCCTTCCATGTTGAATACTAGAAAATGTCCGTACATAAGACAAGTCGACATATTTCTATGAAGCACTTACTTGTAGCATTGGGAAACTTGTTGATCATCTTCTTTGGAAATTTCTTCAGGCAGTTGTTGCGCAAACTAACCTGTAAAATTGTTACTTCAGAGGAAAACATACATATATTTTGAATAGTGACCGCAACTTCTCAACTAGCAAAAAATTAACTATATAGTTGTGCATAATGTTGAGCTCAAAAAATATTATATCACAGATAACAAAATTAGATCATTGGAATTGAACAAGTGAGGGGTTTCATTCTATTAAGTTTACTAGATTCAAATTTCCGGAATAGCCCGACGGCTCATTGTGATAGTACTAGAATATTTGAATCCACTGCGTCATCTCTGTGCCAAAAATCTGCAATAATGCAATAAAATCCAATAAAATCTCCATCGCCGAATTTTTTTTTCATTCCGAGATTATCAAACGCCTTTTCATGTTTTTTCTTTCTGTTTTTTTTATCTTCTTGATGTCATACTAACTTTATTGACGTTGTATGTTGCTGTTCACTAACAAATGGCGCGCCTATGAGCGTATCAAATAAATAAATAAATAAATAAATAAATAAAATCCGAAATTCAATAGATCAATATACTCGAAAAACTTTGCAAACTAAAGCAAGGTCAATCATAATACAAAAAACACCCATTTTTTAAAATAGTACGACAGAACTTTCATGCCAAAGCACATGCTAGATTGTCTTTTCTCGAAGTTGGACAGAAAGGGCTTTGAACATGTATTCTTCAATAGATTGTTTCAATAGCTTTTTCGTCATGGTATTCTTTGGTGAGACCACACTATCAGTTTTATCCACCTAGGTCAAAAGCGAAAAACTATCTGCTGATGCTTTCCGTTGCTTTGTTGAAACAGTAAAATTCCATCAAAGATGCCTTGAGTGACTAGTGAGGACGGAATCGAAGAAAGTTTGGTAGTTCTTAACTTGAATGTTTTCGGCTGTTATGTAAATTCCGTCCTTCTTTGATATTGAATTTGCAGTACTACAACGTTGCAAAATACCTTAGTGACTTCAAATCCTTTCAAGACAAGATATATAGCATCAGCAATGTACATCAATGTGCAAGATGATAGATCTGAAATAAGTGCAGATCAGCTACAAAAAACTAGCATGAGAATAATAGAGCTGATTGTGAGTATTCGACTTCACCAACCTAAAAACCCAGAGGTCTTTGCCGCTTCGCATCTGTCGATCACCTGTGTCACTCCTCGACCAGCAGATGCAGGAAAGGCCATCTGAAACCTCATAAGATGTCAAAGAGTCACGATTAAAACACTGTGCAAAAAAGCAGCAGTCTAGTGTAACGACAGCAATATATGCACGTTGATCCGAAAAAAAGGAGACAAACGCAAATGAGTTACCTTACTGTAAGGAGTATAGAGTTGAGATAGCGAGTGAAAGTGAAACTTCCGAATTTCCTACGAACCAATGAGTCAAGATATCTGATGTGACAAAGTATACAGCAAATATTTGAGCGTGGTGACTCGAGAATTTTCTTTCGGAGTTGGGGAGCGGGGAAATTCCCCCTCAACGCCCTCCCGAAATATCTATGGCATACTTTCCAAAAATTTTGCGGACTCAAACCCTCGTAAATTAAAAAAGGGAGCATGGCATGCTGATTTAAATTTTTGAAGAGCTTGGAAAATAATCCAGTCATTTGCAAGTGATAGCAAGTATCTTGCACATTATATTAGGTTGTCCCGAAAGTTTTGTCGGTTTTTTCAAACCACCGTAAAACCACGCACAATAAAGACCTAAGTGAGCTTCAACATGCATTCGATGCAGCTTTTCCTTCTCTTTCTTATGGATGCACTTTCATACCACAATCTTGTATGCTTTTTTTTTTGATAATTGCCAAAATTCTCCACCTGTCAATTTTACCGGCTCAAAGTTGAGCTGATTTTTAAAGATTTCATTACAAAGTTTCGAAAAAGACTAAGTATGGGTGAATAGAGCAACTCTCGGGCTACAAGGTGGTATTTTTGATTCTCCTAATATGCTGATTTTAACTTCAAAAAATATTTTCTCCGGAGGCCTTGGTTTTTAGCAAAGTCATGAAACGCGCAATTGCAGCAAAAGCATGAAAGCTTTTGAAGTTTTTGCGAATTCAATCTTGTTTGTTATTAAACATCATTTATGCAACATAACCAAGTTTGATTTGCTTCAAAAATCAGCTTTTTGAAATTTTCGGTAATTTTTACGTGGTAAAACGTGTTCAAAAAGCCGCCGTTTTTCTCAAATAAATAATTATTACGGACTTGATAAACGTGGCTCACGTAATCTAAAATGGGTACAATGTAGCCAAAGGTTTGCCCTACACAACAGTCACCAGCACTCGTCGAAAATATCGAGATAAAAATTTTGAAAAATCAGAAAATTTTGGCGCTACTGCTGAGGTGCTCAAAAAGCCATTACGATAACATCGCAAAGACGGGATAGATCAGGGAACAAATATAGCTATAAAAAAGAGGACAAAAGAATGAATAGAATGACACCTAGGCCGTTCATGGATTGGTGTTAGAGGTTTGGTGAGCGATGAAAAAACCGACAAAACTTTCGAGACAACCTAATATAACCCATGCAGGTACTTGCGACCACCCGCCTTCTCCCCCTCCCGCAGCCTCTGTAGGCTCATTACACAACAGCATTATGTACAATATAATGAATCGGGAGTGACGAATTCTGCTGCATACATGCATATGCAATAAAATATGAATATTTCATATTGAGTCATGTTCATTTTGTTCCTTTGTTACTTAGAAAAGAATAAAAACGAGCATCATTGAACAACTTTTCAAATACAAAGGCAGAATTCCGCCTTCATCAACTATAATTAGACCACAGAGTCGGACATAGGTCCTTGGACAAGGTGCTTCCATAACAGCATGGTTGGACAAAATTAACGAAGAAATACCACTCAACGGTCTATTACATGTATAGCTTTACTACTCAAATATGACTCTCTTGGCGCGAACGCAGGCAAGAAAAACTATGAAAGCTATCCGCACGGAGGTATTCCATGTCAGTCTCCTCTGGCCCACTTTAATCAGCGCGTTTCAGAGCTCAGTCTTATGGACAAGCAAACGCTCCGGCCTCAAAAAATTAACCAGACGCTGTAGTCAAGGGGATTCAGATCCGCAAAAAAGGCCATTTTGCAGGAGTGAGTCCTCAACGTTGGTGTGAATTCATGCTTGAGCAAACGTCGTCTTATGCGGAATTATGCTATTCTGCTGGAAACATCTTCTCTATCGGCATAATGGATACCAATCTGAGTCAGACAAATAGGTATGTGGCGGCATCCCATTTTTGCCCTGTAACACAAAAATCATTACATCTCGATGTTGGAAATGTTCGGTTCGCAGTCCATCACCCTTACGTTCCACAAGCCGATCATTCTTGGAGGCGTCTTTGAATAGACTTGATGATGACCCAGTTATTTTGAATGAGAGCCTGCTTTACGGTGTAACTTTTTAGTCCGAAAAGCTCAACAGATACGTTGACTTAGGTTCACGCAGCCACAGCACTTGTACATATAATACAGCTTCTGCTCGTTCCAAAAGATATGATTTTTAGCATTTTGTAAAGCTTGATTTCAAGGTTCAGTTTCATTATGTCAAAGGAGGTCTTGCAACTGATCAGCTCCGAGACAGCTAGATCGAGTTTCTCCTTCCAACGAATGCGTCTCAGAATGCGTTTCAGTTAATTTTCCAAGTTTTGTAAGTGCTCATAATAGTCGCTTTAGCAGCTTACCAAATGCTGTTTGCCGTTCGTATCCGGCAACGAAGCAGCATGAGGAAACCGCGCTTAGTAAAGTTTCGAAAGTCGCAACATATTGCTCATTTCCCTCCCCATGCATCTTCACGTGCAGCGCCCACTCGCTTAAAGGGCATATTTCCGACAAGAACAAAGTTACCCCTCAATTCTGCAGGATATCTGAATGGCACTAGGGGCAGGTATATTTACATAAAACAAAAACTTGTAGAAGATAGAAGATATAATGACATCACACCTGTTCAAGGACTTTCCCCACTCTGCGCGAACGCGGTGGAAAGCTATACGAGTGCTTCTCGAAGACGCCGGGCAACCACCTTGATAAAAAGTAGCAAAACAAAGCCTGCATTCCATCTTAGCATATTCTACGAAAGTTGAATTGGCCAAGTATTTTCACAGTCAATTTTTGGCATTATTTGGCCTATATTCGTGGTTATTTGGCTTACGACTTCACCTGATTTTCCGATGTAAAAAACGCCATAAATTCTTTGGTTCAGCCTCAATCGAACTCATTTTGCCTGCAAATTCGCTGTAGGCTAGACGCTGTGGGAATGCCGCAAGAGACGGAGCAGTAGAGACATCTGTTCATTGAAATAACGAGTGCTGCTCTTACTTCCAAGGTAAAAAGCAGAGGTAAGGTGGAAATGAGAAGCTGGTGATAAAAGAGAACAGGAAATATGAAAAAAAAACTTATAGCCTGATAGGGATGATGGTTTCTGGTAATGATAAGTAAGAAAACAACGTCAAACCTTTACATCAATTATTTGACTGAATTTCATGATAGGATTTCATAAGATAGCAAACAGACGAGAGAATTGTCCAGTTCCAAGATATAGGTTTTAGCAAGAAACTCTTTGTGAAAAGTTGGAATTCCGCGACGCCAGAAAAAAAACCCAAAGATGCAAAAGCTCAGAATTGACCACACGTAAAGAAAATGCCGCTTGGTTTAACTTTTAGGCACCACATTCAGTTGACACTGGCAATTGCATAAGTCATTTGTGGAGGTTGTAATTTGAGACAGGCGGCTAAGGGAGCAATTCCAAAACTACCAAAAATACATATTGACCACCCACTACGACCTTGAAAAAGATAGCCACAAATGATAAAGAAACGTTGTCCCAACAAGCAAGGAAGCTCTTGCTTCTGTCTAATGATTCTAAGCAACGCATTTGAAAAAATTTAGACGTTTGAGGTTGAGTATTGCTCCTCACTGACTGTAGATTTCATTGAAAAAAAAAACTCAAGTGAAATGTAAATATGCAAAGGTAATGGAGTTCATCTGTGGCATGGCGGAGAAGAACGAAGAAAATGACTGGATAGGCGATATAGTTATGTATAATATGCGACTGAAACTGAGTTCTGCACAGAAATTTTCGGACTTTGAATTTCTTCAGCTAGAAGTAAAAAGGAACAAACCCTCAAATTATATTGGAAACTTCGGTCGCTAAAGATGCCAAAGGATCCAACGAATCTGAATTTTCTTCGTATCTGAAGACCTGCATTTTTCAGATAATTTTAAGAAAAATTGTTCTGACCGAATTTCTACAAAAAAAACTGACAAGAGAACACTAAAGCTTTTGACAAAAATATGTAATTTTCGAAATTCTTTATCTTAAATTCCGGTTTTGTGCAAAATGAAACTTCCAATATGTATGAGTATGATAAAACATTACGATACCAATAATAATACTACTGCATCAAAATCATACTAATAAATCAATGCTAGTATGATACTAACGTAATATAGTAGGTTGGCACGAAAGTTCGTTCGCAATTCCAAAAATTCCAACTTTTTGCGCTTGCTTTTGATTTGAACGTACATGCTCTTCATTACTGCATCTTTGCGGCTTTCTACCGACGATGGACATACTTTGTACAAATAGAAGCGGTAGAAGAAAATACGTGATTTTCTGGGTTTAGTCGAAATATAAAACGTGCAGTAAAAATCGGAGCAGTCGAAATTTTGTGTTATTGCCTGCTTTTTCTGACTGAGCAAAGTTTGCGCTAAATAAACGTCTCAACAAATTTGGAGCAAGCAATACAAAACAACAGGTTTAATTTTTTGTCCTTTTCCTTCAAAAATCATATTTTTCACACAGGCTAAAACAGCACAACTTTGCTCACTCAAAAAGAGCAGGCAATAGAGTAATATCGGCCGCTCCTATTTTTATTGCAAATTTCAGATTTTTCGCGAACAAACATAGGAAAAGCAAATTTTTCAAATTTTCTTTTGCAGCTTCTCTGTATGATATATGCTCACAAGAAGGCCGCTGAGATGCCGTTTTGAAGACCATGACTTATGCTTCCAAACTGAAATAAAAGCTACAAATCGGATGAGAAAGCGAGAAGTTATGGATTTCTGAACATGATGCAAAGGAAATTTCGTACCAGCCTAATATAATAAATTACTCACAAAAATATTTCGCATGCTGAAATGGTGCTAAACAAGTCAAAATGAACTTTTTTGAATTTTTTGTGCAAGACCTATGTGATAATTAGGCTAATTAGTCTGCATCACAAATCGTCTACTTCCCAATAATCTGCTGTAGAGCATATGCATGAAGTCCAAATTGTATAAAAATTTGGTGTACTGCATAGTGATAACTCAGAGAAAAACCAAGAAAGAGCTTTTTTAATATAACGAATATGATGAATGTCAAAAGTAAAATAAGAAGATGGCGAAAACCTATCATTCGATAGGGAAATGACTTGCGAATAATTGACGAAATGAACTGTTGATGCTGCTTATAAGCGCTAAAATCGCCTCGAAAGCCTTTCTCACCAGCATTCGCACAGCACTGCACAGACGTAAATAACAACAAAGCAGTAAAACCTAGATAACATTTCTGACGAAAATTACGAAATTGTGTGTCTTCCAGAAATTATGAAGCCCATCCATATGAGCAAACCGTTCAAAGAGCAAAATGCAGGAGAAATCGCTCAGCGATGATTGCAAGTCGTGTGGACTACGAATCAATAACCTCTCTCGAACTCCCTCAAACACAACGCGTTGTAAGCAAAGCTGCAAGTGGCGCCGGACAGCCCTACCGGACACATATGACTGTCCCCAGCTCCTCCAGCAGGTCGTAGGAAATTATCACATAGAGTAAAACAATTCATAAAGTGGACAAAGGCCCAGCTTTAAATGAGCAAATCCAGGTAGGACGATATGAGGTTATGAGCTAGAGGTAAACAACTATGGAAAGAAAATTAAGAGGTACAGCTATCACAGAAACAAATTAACAATGTAGACAGTGAGTCATAGGAGCTGAGAAAAAGTCACCCATAAGAGGAACGTCCACGCTCCAGAAAAGGGCGATCTCAGAGATATGAATAAAACCGAGGTGATTACATGTATAAAACGTCGTATCAACGGGTGGATAAGATCCTGGGCAAGGAACAAAAAGTTGAAAATCCAGATAAAACAAATATGAAGCTAGACAAAATGAACAAGATTATAATATGAAAATTCAACCAAACAATCTACACAGCTCTAATGCAAGAGATGAGATCGCGCTGACAATCGAGTCGAGCACGCCATGACTCATAATTGCGTAACAGTCTTCGTTGCATGGATGCCTAGATCAGCTAACCGCTTCAGTGCTGGTCGATAAATCTCCTTGGTTACAGGTCGAAGAACTCCAGGTTTTTGGATTTCACCTGAAAAAGTTTCCGAATTCTGACATCTCCACTACCGATACACATACGCTAGATAAGCCACTGACCTTGCAGGACCATGTTCGATACAACTGCGCAAGTGTACCCAACAGTTCGAGCCATTGCAGAAAAGCCATTGGGCTCTCCGTAGGCGACAATGCTGACTCTGTGACGCTCCAGACTTCCACCTGAAAACTCATTGGAACCATGCACGTCTGTTTCAGTGTAGATAACAACAAAGATAAAGAAGAGGCCAATGAAGTACAGGATGAATGTGGACTCTTTGTGAGGTGGGATCAGCATAAGAAATGAGTTATGGTGTCTCATTTCGACTACAGAAACAACCCTTGTCGAAATACAAGAAAAAAACACGATAAAGTCATATATGTATGATATAGGAACAAAGGTAAACGTACTCTGTAATCGCACTCCAATGTCGTGATTTAGGACCACCAAATCGCGCTCGTTCTCGTTGAAGGCGAGGATCTGCAGCAAAATCATGTAGATATATCATGATCTATTCAAAGTATGCCTACCTTAGCCAAATACGGAGCAAGAGTATCCAGCGCATTTCCATGTCTGTCGGCTACATTATCACTGAAGAGGCCCAGCTCTTGCAGTGCTTTCATGCCTGCGGAGTTTACACCACCGACTTTTTCAGCAGCAATGTTTCTAAGCGAATCAGGAAAGATGTCCTGTCGCTGATTAAGGAGAGATGCCATTAGCTGTTTCTGGAATAGAAGACTGTAATCTTACAGAAAGATGCTTTGTGTTGAGCGGACTGTGACCTACCCAAGTAGGATCGGGACCTAGGTTGGGATTGAAGATATCTTGCGGTTTAGTACTCAGCAGACCAACGCTGTCCAATGCTTTTACTGATTCTACGAAACCCTGAGAGAATACTAATAATATCGTCGCAATTGCTAATGAACAGGGCTTCAGACCTTGTATCGCAGCGTTCCTCGTATCATGGTCTTGCAATCTGATCCCAACCCATAGATCTCAGAGTACTTAGTGGAGTCTCGGTTACCGTAGCCAATCAGATTGAAGCCGGGCATGAAGTCAATCGGGTACAGGTGATCTACAACTTTTCCGGATGTAATTTCCACAACCTAAAGACGTACGTTTTATGGCAGCAATACAAGGATCAAAAAAATTTGCACCTTTCCATCTTGCAGGTATTTCGCTGGATTTAGGAGCGCTGTGAGCACTCCCTTCGGACTCCAGCTGAACTTGTATCGCAGAGGATTGTCGGAAGCTTCAGGAGCAGGAAGACCACCGCAGAAGGAAACGAAAGAAGTTATCTGGGAAAAAACATCTTCGACCCAGAAATAATAGGATGTTCTGATACCTTTCCACCATGTTCCTTGACTTCATCGATGCATTCCATAGCTAACATATGGTCGATTCCAGGATCCAGACCTGATTCGTTCATAATGGTTACTCCAGCTTCCCGTGCGCTGAAAAGTAAATGATATCATAGTGAATCCAAGAAGGGCTAGGAGAATCAAATAGACATGATATAAACAAGATCAATGGAGGCAATATAATGTCTACAAAAGGTAACTTTTCGCAAAAACCGAAATCATCTGTGAAACTCACGCGCTATCCAAGGCCTGCAGTTCTGGTGAAACATAGCTGGATGTGACCATATCTGTCTTATTCTTGATGCACATCTTGGCCACCATTGGATGGAAGCCAAATGGAAGCAGTGAAACCACTTGATCATGTTCCCTGCAAAACCGAATTTCATATATTTGTGTCTGCAAAAACACGAGACAGTCATTACCCATTACCTCACTAGCTGCTCCAATACGTCATGTTCCCTGGCTACATCGACAACAAGCGGAGTGATGTTATCACTCTTTGCTAGACGATGACCGTCTTCACGAGACTCGGTGGCCACAGTCACGTGTACCTTGAAACCAACACTAAACGTTATTTCGCGGGAATATGTTATGACTAACCTTGGCTTGCTTCGAATAGAAGTCAGCGAATGGTCCGCTGACCATTCCAGCGCCAAGTAGCAGTACTTTTTTCTCGTCAGCTCCCATTACGCGCGCTTTGTGATGAGAAGCACTGAAAATCAAAAAAAATGGAAAAAACTCCAACTGGGTGTCAAAGACGAAAACTCGTCGGGGGAACATTTCAAACAAAAAGGCTAGAGAAGAGAATAAAAACGAAGAAAGGAGAGACCTAAGATACGGAATACTTCGAGAGAGACTATGAAAAGAAAGGTACTAAGTATACGGTATGCACCATGGTGCGCTATTCGCTGAATGGCGGAAAGATGGAATGATCTGATAATGAACTGATATATTGTTCAAAAACCGATCTCCAGGGGAGCCTCTAGATGAGGTGAATGTACTAAAAAAATTGGTATAATGGGAAATAACGATTTAATAGATCGTCGCTACACGATCAGATTCGTCTCCAAATTCTAGTCATTTCATCTACTTAGAGCACGTGATGATTCCCTGATAAAATTATCTTTGAAATAGTGAACTGTGCACATTTACCAAGTAAACTTTTAGGATTTCTCATACAACTGGTAAATCAAAAAGTTAAGCTAAATTGATTATTTTTCTTACACATCGAGACCAAAAATAGACAACTCACGCAGCCTTTGCACTGCGAAGATCAGCAATGTACTCATAATTAGGTGTTAGTCTTCCCTCATTTGTGATGATCGCGCCTTTCACCTCTGGTCGACACACCAATCGATCAAACGGCTGCTCCGTGGCACAATTCAACTGGAAACGACTGTACTATTTCCAAAAATCCGTAAGAAAGAACACTTGGCACTCTCAAGATTCTGCGTCACTGATAACGTGCAAACAAAAGGAAACGTTCGCTTATGACGCGATAACACCGATTATTACCCATAATTGGCTGTTATCTGATCATAAATGTTGCACAAAGCGCTAGAATATGATAGCTCACCATATCAAAAATGTAAGGATACAGCAGATTTCCAAACTGTTCTGTGGCCTGCAAGGGCATCTGTGCTGGCATGTTGTCAATACTACAAACGAGGCAGCCGGAAGGAAGATCAAAGCTAAATAAAGAGGAAATTATGAGCCATAATGAAAGATAAAGTGCAGTCGACAAACCTATCTGTTGTGGTATGGAAATCAGCATCGTAGATAGTGAACGGCTTGTCTATCGTAGTGCATTCGTTCATGAATTCTATCGAGCCTCCAGGATCAGCAGATATATCACAGATTGCGACCAGTCGGTGTGGTAATGTGGGACATCCGGGAACCTCATACTGAAGAGAAAGCTTATAAACTTCAGAATATATTAGGAATGAATGTAACTAAAAGGGCACTGCAGGGCTATAAGCTATAGAAAAGTTATAAGCTATATAAAAGAAGAGAAGTGAATTCGAAGTGGACGACTGACCACATGGTGAAGATGATGACGAAAGATCTGTAAGCAAGTTGAGACGATTTTTCTAACATTAAGGACTGCGCTGTACTAGCGATACTTCCGGATACTTTTGAATAAAAGCTCTCCCAATCACTATATAAATGCCTTGTTCTTACACATTTTTAACCCTTAGATGTTTTTTGCGCATGCCTTACCTTATGCTGAGGTGTGAGCAAGTGCTTAGCGTCAGGAATCGTGATCAGCCTCGGAGTCCGTGCATCCCAATATACTCCGTTGATTATGACAGTGGCATAAGGTGCGATCTGAAATTTTTGAATACTGGGTTTGCACAAAATATAATTTCATTTTTTCTTAGTTTAAATGTTCTCTGCAATAATCTCGCAGAATGAGCGAACGCTGGTGTTTGCTGTCACATATCTTCAATCTTTCCTATGCTTTTTTATTTTTTCTGACGTAGCCGCAACCACGTGTTGCCTGGCTGTCTTCGAGTCAAAGAGAAACTGAGATCGAGAAGATAAATAACAGTCTGGCGCTACATTCGAAGATAAAAATCTATGTAGCCTTGTCGAAGAACTGAACCAAAAGGCGCAAAGAGAGTAGCCAAACACAGCTTGAGATCAGATAAGGAAAAATTTACCTCAGTAGCGAATTTTGAAATGTATCGTTCTGGATGTTCCTCAAACTCAGCTTTATTGAACGCACCTCCTGAATTGAGATATTGCGGGTAGAAAACTTCACTAAGAATGACAACAAACTCACCATTCTTTGGAACCATGTGGTCGGCTCGAGTGACAACACATCCGTAAACTTTGGTTAGTTCTGGAGAAGTTGCAGTTTTATAGAGAAGAAAAAGGAAAAATTCCACCACCTCAGTATCTCTTTTATCCAAAAGTGATACGGATAAAATTGCATAAATCTGCAACTCACGTCCTTTTTGAGCAACCTTTGGCAACATTGCAACATCAACAAATTCGTGAGGGAGATGTTCGAAAAGCTCCTGAGCGCCGCGTGAAACGTTGCCGGAACCAGTGAATATGAAGATCAATGGACCCAGTGACCTAAATTCATCTTCACTTGTATGAAAAAAAAAACTACGAAATATTATCAACCAACCTAGGCATTTTATCCAAGGCAATTTCGTAACCAATACCTCTCAATGCATTTATAGCCATATGCGAATCGCTGTAGTTGTGAGCTAGACCCATATGGAGGAAAGGAGTATGGTGACCAAGAGCTAACAATCTGGAAACAAAAGAAAATTTCAAAGATAGATACCAGATATGACTGCGTCTCTACATGGAAGAAAAATTAAAATTCCTCACCTAAGCCCAAGACCATGTAAGATATCTATGAAACCAGCGTTTCCTGCCCACTTGCCAAACATGACCAGACGCTTGCCGTTTTTGTCAACTATTTTCTCATAGTCAATCAAACGAATTTTCTGAAATAAACTTTGTGCATTTCGACGCGCCTTCTTAATAAACAAAAAAAATTTTACTCGTTGCAAAATGGTATCCAGCATTTCCATGTTATCCGGTTGAGCTTTGATGGTATGGGAGAAAAATGCGTAAGTTTTGTTAGCTATGAGTTGGTCGACGGGTACCTAAATACTTGTTCTGAGTAATGGCAGGAGCTAAGACAAGCAAAAAATCTCACCTGCTTTACCGACATAATTAGCTGGGCATCCGATAGATCTTCCCGGACAGTCGCGCCAGCAGCAACATAATCCTATGAAAGCAACCAAAATGAACCAAAGAAGCTAATATGATACCAAGTGATTACTCACCTGCACTGGGAAAACTCTTCTATTGCTGGGCTGGATAAGCACAGTCACACCGGCTTTCGTCAACTTTTTCACATGTGTTGGCGCTAACGGTGCTCGCCTTTCCCAAGCATTTATCGTCTCACGTCGGACACCAATAGTCGGCTTTCCTCGCCCAACAAACGTTTGGCAACTACGAAGCGATATTCGGCTACATGACGCCAGCTTGTCCAGGAGCATCTGCAAAAAAAACAAGTTTGGTGTTTTCCGAAGCAGTGAGCAGCTCAAAAATGTAAGACTTCCACAACAAGAAAAGATAGGTATTTGATAAGATGAAATGACGAAAAATGTGATTTTATAGAACGCATCAGAAATGATGCGTTCTATAAAATCAAAAACCAAAAATCAGGATTATATAGTGAAGCAACAAATCTTGGGAATTGTTCATGCTTTCAATCTGTCAATTCAGAAAAACAAAAACAAATTAAAAAAGACCCCAAAGTACTGATTTACACCTTGGTCAAATGTATTATATCTACAATGTCCGAATTGCTCATCGAATTGCATGAAATACATATGTAAAAGGAATTTAGAAGTGAACCAGCTGTTTTGGAAACCGAAAAAAGTGTGAAAAACGTTTGGAGTCTTATCCGTAGGAATTCTGAGAATAATTGTAGGCAGGATTTTGCACTGTCTTGTGGTGCAGGACTTCAAAGTGGCGGTAAAAACTCACTTCAGCAGAACAAAGGGCTTTTTCCTTTGAGAAAAATAGCAACTAATTCGGATCTTAAACTGCAAAAGCTTAACAGGAAACATTCCTCTTCTCTTTATAAAGATCCGCTTTGTACTTTCTTTTGCAAAAGATGGCATCACCAAACTTAGAACTCAGTTAAAACGTTTTTTTTTTTTGCAGAAAAAGTAATAGCTACAGATTGCAATTTTGTATAGAGCAAAGAATTTTTGACTTGCTTTGAATGGGAGAAGTACCAGCTCAAGAAATTTTTGAACGATGTGGTTCCATTCCATTCAAGAAAAGAAAACAAAAAATGCAAGTTTGCAAAGAAGGAAGCAGAAAAACTGCGTCGGGCTCATCGCAACCTCTAATAAAAAACCGCGCCAAACTCGGCGTAGCCATTTGCAGATAGTGTGGACATGCGGAGATGAGCGATAAGCACACCGGCAATGAGGGTTTGTCTCGTAGAAAAAAGAGGCGACAGAGCTAGAGGTGACAGGAGACGCCAGCCGGCTGCACCACGTGCAACAATGCCTCGTGTGCGTAGACCAAAGAGTGACGAAGTGACAGCGTAGAGTTTGGTCTCAAACTCTACGCTGTCACTTCTTCACGCAGGAGAAAGAAGCATGAGACAAACGGACACAGACTCACTCTGTCAAGAAGGTAAGATGAAAAGAACTCTGATATGCTATGCTCACATTCCCAAACAAGCATGATGATATGAAACTGTAAAAGGCAACACGAAAGCCCACTGACGAAAATGATGCGAAGTGAAGATCACCAGCTCCTACAACGACCCATAACAACACCCTCGCTGACGAAAACATGACCAGCAAGACAGCTAATAGAGTTTTTTGAAGTTGATAAAATGCCGCCAATCCACAATAATTAGTGCAATTGCGCTGCTGCTCAAAATTCGCATTCCTGCGGACCAAACGCAGGTTACGCTTTCAAAAGTGCGCCCAGGTTGAGACAAAATTATAGATAGAGATATAATTATCATCCTTTCTCTCACTAGGGGACGCGAGTACGCTTTGCGTACATTTCATTAGCAAGTTCATGAATAAATTCTAACGCGTTTGGTTGATTTACTATTGGAACTCATAGGAGGACATACTAGAGCCCGTTGAACCACCCTGGGTTGAACACGTTCTTTCATGAATTCCTGGTTGTAATTAACCAAAACGCATTAAAACTCATTCAAGAACTTATTGATCAAACGTACGTAAAGCCTGCTCGCGTCTCTTAGTCAGAAAATGAATGATATGTTCTACGTCTGAACTTTCTTTCCACCGTCTCATATATAATAGATTCAAGTTTGTGAAAACATCTTACGATATCATGGACGAAATAGCTGATTCATAATTTGCCATTTTCTGACTAAAATTAAGGTGTCATTCATTTTCTGACTAGGAGACGCGAGCACGCTTTGCGTACGTCTTAACATGTTTTTGAATGCGTTTTAGCGGGTTCTGGTGATCAACTGTTGAAAATTCGTGAGAGAACGTGTTCGAACCCGCTTGTTCGACATGCTCGAACATGTTTTTCCACGAATTCTAAAGCTAAACCATCCAAAATGCCTCGGAACGCACTCATGTACCTACATGTATTAATCAGACGTACGCAAAGCGTGCGCGCGTAGTCAGAGAATGAATGATAAGTGATGTCATTTTCAACAAATATACCAAGAAACACACATGTATGCCATTGGCACACTGAGAAAGAGGAGGGGGTGCCTTCAGCCCGAGACTGGGTCGTGGAATCTCAAAGTCGTCTACACCTTATTTCATTGTGCAAGTGACCTATCATTACTCCGAGTAATTCTATTTCACAAAAAAATAATTCAAGATAAATAATTCAAGATTAATATATAATAATAATTAATGATAATAATAATAATAAGATTAATTTCAAGATTCTAATCGTAGAATGAGAATTTTAGGTATTTTAGGCGTACTGAGGTGAGAACAACCAAAAAAAAAATTTTTATCGAAGAGCGTGTCTAAGCGTGTCTGTCGTGTCGCGCTCATTGAACAAATTTCTGCCGCCCCTTCCGAACGAAATTTCTGGCCGTGCTATGGGTTGTCCCATAAGTCTTTTCTTTTTACAGGAATAAGTTTTTTTTTTCGTGACGTTATTAATATTTGGACGAATTACAATTCGAAGCAAAATCAGCTTTATAAGACGGCCAGCAAACCTTCGCACTAAACTTGATCCGCACGGATTCTGAAGCCAAAATCATTTAACTGAACTGTTTGAACATTTTTTCTTGCTTTGACACACTTTAGAGTGTAAATAAATAAAACCAAAATGGTTTCAAATTTCCAGAAAATCGAGCAATTTTATTGTACTCCTAATTTCTCGCTAATCCACCATATGTACCCCCACATAAAGCGGTCATACATACAGTTGCTGTATAATCTAATTGTCTAGAAACAAAACGAAAATCGGCAAGTTCTTGGGAGATCTGGGTTGTTCTTCTATTGAAATCCATACTACAAGCCTTTCGACCATGAATTACAATGAAATAAACCATGAAAACCAAAAAAAACCATAAACAAAAAAACCAAAATCGAGCCTTTCATTTCGAATCTAGTACCAGAAAACATGGCATATATCTGAATTTTAGTAATTTTGGATTATTTTTGTTTCTCAATTTCTAGCCATGGAAAAAATGTTGCAACCATATAAATGAATATCTGATTTGAAAGACATATGCGCGAGCAAGTCCTCCCTAAAATTTTTGTGGAGGACTTCAGTTTCTCAAGTAAACAAACAATTTTCCGATTTGGCCTCAAACTTCACGTGGACTCAGACTCTTTGCGAATGCTCCAAAGCCACCTTGTAGGACTTGTCTGCTCTATCAAACGGTTTTTTTTCAAGCTGAATCAGAAAAAGCAGATTTGCGTAAGTCTCAAGCGAGAGTTACGCGAGACTTTTGCAAATAAGGGATTTGGCTGAAGCAACGTATTTTGAAAATCTTTTTTCATCTAGAATTTTAATAAGTAGAGCAAAAAAAGCTGCATTTACAAGCATTCGCAATCAATCTACGAGAGGAAAGGGGGGGGGAGGGGAGGATCTCAGTATTAATCAGGTACAAACTAAAAAAAAGAGTAGTACCACAAAAACGCCAAAGTAGTGTAGTGCAAGTTCTTCGCAAAATTACGGGGACCAAAGGCGCTAAGACAACAGACAGAAATCATATGCCTATATGTTCAACAGTTAAAACATTCATAGTTTTGGTGGAGAGAAATGTCTAGCACCAGTTATCTGATCCGCAGAAAGCATTTGTACGAAGAAATGCCAAAAAGTAATTGTAGTAGAATATATGAGCAACTTTGAGTTATGAGTAATACGAAGGAAAGAACTTTCCAGAATATAAGTGGTATCACTGATAATCAGCTTAATACCACAAATGATAGCTCAAGAGATAACAAATTTCCAGGTTAATGTTGGGTTTTGAGTAAAGAAAACTTCGGGCATATATATAGTCGATTCGTTAACCGCACGGACTGCTCAAACGCTGCGGACCACTCGCGGCGCGGCTGAAATGTGCGACCACGACTTGTACAATGGCGAATTTGTACTGGGGCAAGCGTTTTATCTCGCTCGTGCTCGGCGCGTGCTCCGCAGTGATGCCCAGTCCGTGCGGTCAAGGAATCGACTATACATGAATCGTAATCAAAATCATTGAGATGACCAACCAGATAACCTTTGTATAAAATCAGGAGAACTCTTCTAATTTTTTCATCGTATTCTGCGTAGATCCAGGAAAATACTCTGCACAAGAACAGGATCATTACGTTAAGCATGTGGCATTATCCAGGCAGATTCAATTCAAAACAAAAACGACAGTTAAAATTCCATTCAAGGCATAATCATTATCCGAGACCGGCATCTCGGAGGAGTGAGTGATTCTCTATACGAGCGATGATTATAAGCTCATCTGTTGTTCATTTTTTTACGATCTTATCCTCCAGAAGATCGGAATGCAATAACGAATAGATAGCAATAATTTGCACAACCTAATATCTTTGCAATATGGATCGTTTAAGGTAGAAGTGATAAGATATTTACAGAAAGAATTAAATTTGCATTTGCAGTAAAAAACAGCACGGTAGTTTTTGTAGAATGTTGGAGTACAAATGTGTTTATGCAGGGAGACTTCCATGCTCATAAAGCCTGGCTTGAATCGATCACGCACAGCCATCACGCTCCTATCTAGCGATCCCAACTAGTAATATTGTCCAGCTTTGAACGTTTTTGGATTTTGCAGAAAATAACCAAATGTAGGAGTACAGTACGCAGCAAAGTACACTGGAGCGTTTCGATACCTTTTTTTAGAAACTATTTTAGATGCTATGATGATTAAAAAGGATATTTGAGAGAGGGAGAGGGAAGCTGGGGGCAAAAAAATTATGGTAAGTTACCACTTTGGCCAAAATGTATGATGAATTCATTCGATTTTCTGCCAGCATTTTGAATCCCTCATTGTAAGCTTTACCTGCTTTAAAATACTCTCATTGCCCCTATTCCTCGCTTCACTGCCCCTGATTCAGAAAATTCTCAGTTTTGGAGAAAAAATCTCACAAGGCAACTAATGTATCGTCGATTCATGACACGCAAAGACTGGGCGCCATTGCGTTCGACGAAGATAGTTTGTGCACAGGAGAGACAGCAGACGGTAAGAGAAACGAAAAAGCGTTCGATCACGGAGACGCCGATATGTCCGCAGTCTTTGCGTGCTATGAATCGCCTATATTTCTAACAACCTTGTTTCCATTTTTTTTATATCAGTAAGGAGGTCCATCAAAATGACTTGACCCAACAAAATAACAGCTAGTGGGTTATGGAGGTATCCACAATGCGACAATTAAGACTTCTAATAGACCTTCATGATCCTTAAAGCCGACTGATGTTGTTCATGGTTCACCTCAATACCTTGTGAAGTCTATCATCCTTTAGTTGGGCTTTCTTATATCATCCCCAGTACAAATGCAGAAATCTTTTTGACAATTTCAGCTTATAGCATGCTTTACAGACGGTAAATTGACTCTACCTTTCCTTTTATGAGCGGAAAGAAATCATCTAATGGGGATCCTTTTCTCGTACAGAAAAGAAATCGAGTGCGATGCAAGACGAATTCGGCGGATCGAGAGTAAAGCCGAGGGGTTCCCTTCCCTCCTCTACACGAGAATGGACTGTGAAACTGTAGTCTTCACGAGTCCATACTGCAATGACCAGTTCTTAATTGTAAGTAAGTCTGTCAAATGCTGCAGCCATACGTCTCATCTTTGAAATTGTTTTCCGAAAATTACAATCCTATTCGTTAGAAATATCGTAGACAGCCGCCACGGCCCCATTTCTCAAATAAAGGCGCGCGAAATTTTCCAAGGGTATCTCGCCGCTAACGTTACACTCTTTCATTTAGTCGTGCTGCTTTTGGAAGCGGTCTCACTCCTGACCTCATCGTAGGGTATTCATAAGAAGTCCAACCGCAAAGGACAACGTCTCACCAAAGTGCCTCCACCCAGGTTCGCACAGTTTTTCGCGTTCACCGAAATTTCGCTGCGTACGTTTCGTGCCGGGACGATGGCTTCGCATTCGACGATTGTAGCAGTCATTTACAACTTGAATACTTTTGCCTAACTTTAAAAATTTGTTTTTGTCAAAATTCGATATATTTTTTCTTCAGATTTTGTAAGGAAGACGATTTCAAAGTTGAAAGTGATCATTGCTTTCGTTCGCTTCTCCGCAAACCATTGTATTGAGCAGTTCTGTTTCTGTTTAAATTTTCTGTAATTTTTGATAAGTGCTCTTAATCGTATCATTTCAGGTCTCTTCTCTGAGCTTCAAAATCATGGTTAGTTTGCAATAAATGCCCTTGTGGGATTGAAGGTGATAATCTTTTTTAAGGGCGACGTCGTTACTATTAGAACTAGGAAGGTTCTCTCCAACCGACTTCTTTATAGGAAACAAATGGTTAGTTGCTATATATCGCTTTTTATGAAGATCATGTTTTTTTTTCGGTGTCTATCATTTTTGTGTCGGTTTTTACCAGTATTTTCTTTTTTTCAGATTTATTTTCCTTCATTTTCTCCTTTTTCTCGTAGTTCTCCCATTTTACCATACAAGATACTAGTACTCAATTCTCTCAACATAACATGTGTATGGAAATGATTGTCGAAATGCTGATCTCAGTTTATTGAAATCCGCGGAACGATTCTGTCAGCGCTATAGAGGTATCTGCCCTTGCAAGTAGCGAGGAGTGCTATGAGTATGGAAGCTAATATTGATCGAAATACATACCATTTGTTCGATTCTCGTTATTCCGGACCAGTGAGTATTCTGCAATGTCAAGTCTTGAAAGTTACGCCCATTGGTGGATGCATTGTCGTGAATGTGTATGGCATAAGAATTTGTTAGAGAAAACAAACTAGCGTCTCTTCGGGATTTGAACTGATTTATCCTGCTTGACAGTCTATTTTACACATCCACTCAATACGATCTCTTCGACTATCTTTTTCAAGGCAATTCTCTGCTCGCCGCTTTCGAAAGCCAAAATGCCTTCATAACTCTTTTGAGAAAATCGTTTCGCAGATTTTGGCAGGGTTTTGAGATCAATGCTCCAAAACGAGTACATCATGTCCATACTATGTTTAAAAGCTCCAGCAAAAGTGCTTCCCTCACGTATTCTATCGGAATTCATTTGTCAAGAAAATGGCCAATTTAGAGCGAGTTGGACAAATTTTACCGCAGTCACAGAGCAGATTTCTACTAATGATCGCGTTGCATCATAAAAGGCAACGGTGATATATCTGGAACTGTTCCTGCAAGGGTGCTATGTTCTTGGAGGGTCCGCGCTAGTATCAGAGAAGTGTTTTAGGTGATATATCTGATACTATTTGCACCAAAAGTGTTATTTTTGGTCTTACTCTGCATGCCAAAGTGAGTTCAAACATGTTTGATGCTGTTATTAATTCCATGCTAATTCTATGGATGAAATAATGAGAGAGACCATAGCTTGATCTTGAAATTTCAAAATTGGTCTGAAATATGGTTGTAGGGGATCCAAAAGCTCCAAAATGAAATTGTTTCGCCAATAATTCTTGTAGTTTCAACACAAAGAGGAAACTGAGCAGGTGGTTATTGTAAAGCATAAGTTAGTTGAACTAAAGACGAAGGAATTGTGTCACACTGTTACTTCGAATGCAAATTTTGTTCTTCTTACACTAGTGCTCTTACTTACCTCAGCAATTGCCTTAAACTAGTCAAATTGCAAACGATTCATGTCCGCAAGCAACTCTTTCTTGTTACCGATACATAGGGAAGGTGAGTGTGATTGTGCGGAAATGAAGTTAGATCCTTGATTCAACCGCACTTTGAGGGCATCGCCTCTTCCCCATCGTTGTAGTTATTAGAGGCACTGTTGGGATTGGAGTCAGCATATTCTACGCGATAGTTTGTAACTGTTGCAATCTTATGTAAATATTGTAAATTGCTAATCAAAGACCAACATTGTTAGTTAAGGTTGGCAAAAAATGGCTTTCTGGATATTTTATGTGTGATGCAAAGAGAGATTGCGGTTATTTCAGATAATTTTTTGCTCTTTGCGCGAATTCTCTTGAAGAAGATATGACTGCTCATAGGCAAAATTGTCAAGTTCTGGTGACATACATTCAGGACAGTTGTTAAAACACTCCTTTGGCCTAGTGGACATGCCGCTGCATGTACTCTTTACTATCGAATTTGAACTAGGGCATACTTGTGATAAACTATTAACTATCAAACGTTCGGAACTTCTTTCGTAAAATCTCGCGGATATGGACGGATTAAATCTTTATTGAGCGCTTATGTGGTGTATATCTCTTAATTCGCCCGTGCGAATTAAGAGATATACACCACATAACCGACTTCATATCCTTCTCTCGTGAATCTTTGTTTTTACTTCCAACTTTTCAGTTGTTTAGTAAGAAATCACAAGTACACTCATGCCCATAATTTTTGAAAACCCTTGTTAGCAGCAGCTGAGTAGGCTCTCCAGTTATATATAGTATTTAGCATATGTTTAGTTTTAGAAGATCTTCGTTACCCAGTGATTTAGTTGTAATGTATAATATAATCAACTTGTAGTGCAGCATTTATACTTACTTAGATACTTAGATGGCCCGGCTTCACGTGACGTGCGGGCCCCAGCTCAGAAGTTTCCATTTCTCCCTGTCCCTCGCTTCTGACATCCACGATCTTCTTGGCTGACGTCGGTGGCTGCGTCCACGAGTTCCAGGTGCAAAAATCGTATCCAGCTGATTTCTCAGCTGGTCCATCCGTTCCACGAACACGTCTGCCCATCTCGTTGGTGGTCTTCCTCGGGGACGTTTTGCTTCGCGAGGAATCCACTCCGATGTTCTTAGTGTCCATCTGTCGTCTGTTCTTCTCATGATGTGACCGGCCCATCGATGCTTCGCTTTCGCAACGTAATCCGCTGGGTCACGAAGACGGGACATTCTCCTCATATCCGCACTGCGAAGTCCGACGAGATGTTGTTTGTGTCGGGTCATCTTCAGAAGACTACGCTCTAGCGATCTGTGGGTGGTCCTTAAAGCTTTCGAAGTGGCGACGGTGTCAGCCCAAGTCTCAGCTGCGTAACAGAGCGCCGGGAGAACGGTTGAGTCGAACAGGTGGGCACGAAGCTCCGGGTCCGTCAGTTGGTCGGTGGCTTCCTTCAGAGGCCCGAAGGCGGCCCAGGCTGCTCTTCTTCTCCTGTTGAGTTCTTCCCTCAAGTCGTTCTCCATGTTCATCGAACGTCCGAGATACATGTAAGAAGACGTCTCCGTGATAGAAGTGCCTTCCAATTCCATTTCTGCATCTTCGCAAAGGGCGTTCTTCATGAACTGAGTCTTCTTCCGATTGATTCGCAATCCGATTTTCTTCCCTACTTCGTTCAGTTCCTTCAGCATCGTCTCTGCTTCAGTGATACTGCTCGAAAAGAGAACGATGTCGTCCGCAAAACGAAGGTTCGACAAGAATCTCCCATCAACTCGTATGCCTCTCTCGTCCCAGTCCAGTGACTTCATCACTCACTGCAAGGCCGCAGTGAACAGCTTCGGCGAAATTGTGTCGCCTTGTCGAACCCCCTTCCCAATTGGGATGGTCAGGGGGCGATGGAATAGCTGCATCGTCGTTGTACAGTCTTTGTAACAGTCGGCTAACGTCCTCACGTAAGCTGGGTCCACTCCTTGATCGACTAGCGCAGACAGGATGGCGTTGGTTTCGACGCTGTCAAAGGCTTTCTCGTAGTCGACAAAGGTTAGGACGAGAGGCAGTCGGTATTTCCGGCAGACTTCTATGACCCTCGAAACCGTCTGGATGTGGTCCATGACTGTGGCAGACCTTCTTTTCCAGCCTTCGACTGAATCGTACCTTCGCTCGAAGGAGGCGGTGATCGGAGCCACTGCTAAGGATGGAACTACTGAGATATCGAGCAAGCTCCACCTTCGGTTGGTGAGAATGTGGTCGATCTCCGCATGAGTCGTTCCGTTGGGCGATTCCCATGTCCACCGGCGATGTTCTTTCTTCATAAAGATGGAATTTCCATGGAAAAGTCGTGCGGCGGAGAGAAGCCCAACAAGACGGTTGCCGTTTTCGTTCCGGAGCCCATATCCAAACTTCCCGATCCTATATTCCTTTTCCAGTGGCATCCCGATTTTCGCGTTGAAGTCGCCCACAACAAACTTACAAAAGGACTTCTCGTTGCGGACGACCTCCTCCACATCTTCGTAGAAAGCATCTAGTTCTGATTTGTCAACTGCTGATGTTGGAGAATAGCAGTTGATGATGCTGATGGTCTTCTGATGTGGAGGTCGTAGTCGTAGGATGCCTAGTCGAGGTGATAGGATCTCGTGCGAATCGACAAGATGGACGATAGATGGGTGGACGACAAAGCCGACGCCTCCCACATTTCGTGATGGAACCTTTTCACCACGAATGATGAGGGTCCCATCACTCATCTGTCGCACGTCCTTCTTCCAGGACTTCGTTTCCTGCAGAGCGATGATGTGGTAGTTGATATGCTCTGCAGCGTCGAGAAGAGCGTGTAGGTCGGCGTTTGTGGAGACTGTCCTGGCGTTGTAGGTGCAGAGCATGAGGCAATCTCCACGGCGTGTCGTTCGGGCAGACGTGTCGTTTTTGTCCAATCCGAAAGGCGCCCTGAGTACCCTGACATCGTTCTTGCTACCACCCGGCGCCGTAGGCGGGATCCGATGTACAGGGTTTTTTCTAAATCTTCTTGCTGTCTGAGTAATAAAATTTGTTCCCCTACAAGAGGTGGCTTACTAGGCCTACTCTTGATTTCCACGGGGCGATCGCTGACCCCGGGCTTGGAGCGGGGAGGGAAAGAAGCCAGACGGCGGAGGATCTGGCGTGGCCAGTTCTTAGCTAGGCATCCGGCCGAAACCGGAAACGTCGAACTCCTTCACAGCATGGGAGGCCCTACCAGAGTATACACTCGGCTGTGCATCGCAGTTCGACACCCAGTGTCACCCCCACGCCACGATGAGGCGACCGACCATTGTGGGGGCAGCATTTATACTTGTCTAAATACTCCGAGTAGCATCATGTCAATCAATATCTTCACTGTTATCTATCCTCCAGTGCATTACCATTTTTTACAGTTGTCGTTTTTTAGGTTGTTGAAATCCTTCACCCCGGCCGTGCCACCGTACCCAAAACAGAGATCAAAGAAAAGATCGCCAAGTTGTACAAGACCACCCCTGATGTTGTTATCCCCTTTGGATTCCAGTCCGCCATCGGAGGAGGAAAGACCAAGGGATTTGCCCTCGTGTACGACACATTAGATTATGCCAAGAAGTTCGAGCCTAAACATCGCCTCATCCGTGTAAGTTTGACTCTTGCTATTACATATTTTATTTTGCTTTTTCTTTTTTGAATTCCTTTTGTATCTTAGAATGCTAGAAACCCATTAGCTTGGAGTCTTTACGTTAAACTACTTATGACCATTTTCTGCAAGCTTTTGGCTTGGGTACTGCTATACGAGGAAGTTTTGAAGCCTTTTTCTGATGACGAAGTTCTTGTATGAATAAAAAAAATGGGCTGAATGTATCTTGCATTCATCGCGGTTTAAATCTGCTCTCCGTCATAGCGAAGTCCATCTTTGTTTGCAGCTGTTATAGAGGTATGACGAAGTGGTGTAAAAATAACGAAACAGGTTGAAGTCTTTTTAACCATAAATGTCACATTTTTTCTTGCCGTATAATCTTCGGATGTTCAGCGCATCTCATTGCTTTCAGATGGGTCTCATGCCAAAGGTAGACAGAGGAGGTCGCAAGCAACGCAAAGAAAGAAAGAACCGACAAAAGAAGGTGCGCGGAGTCAAGAAAGCCACAGTTTCGGCTGGAAAGAAGTAAATCGACATGGCTCATTGTTGATTTGTTTTGTTATATTGACGTTTATAAAGACGTTACATTTGTGTCTTTCTATATGTTCAAGGGTAGTTCCTCCTACGTATCAAACGGCACAACGGTGATTAGTTTAATTGAAATTAATTTGCTCAGTAGAGGTGCTCATGTCATCCAATGTTGGTTCGCAGCTCGATGATATTGCTAAATGTGAGTTGAGTTTGCTTTCAATACCATTGAAGTAAGCTCTTGTCCGTATTCTTGGAAGCTGAGCCGGGAAGAGATAGGGGATCTCATTTGAAAGTCAAAAAAAAAACTAGGCTTATATTTACAAAGCTTTACGAATCGTTCGAACGACATTTGTGAGTGTTCGTTTATTATTTGATTTTGAACTGAGGCGATGATACGAAGTCTACAAATATTGGGTTCTTTCGAAAGCTCCATACGTTTTCTGAAATTGGCCAGAATTCGCAGAGTACTGATCGACGACGACTTAGGTATCGTTCGATCAAAATTTCTGTCCTCTTTTTGTTCTATTTTAGATCACATAGATCAAGTTTTTGAAACCAGTAATGATTGTTCATTTGAGAGAAACGCCGGCTCTTTGAGCACGTGTAATGCATATATTTACCGAAAATTTTTGGAAAGCTGAATTTTTGAGGCAAATCAAGTTTCATTATGTTGCACAAATAATGTTCGATAACAACCAAATTTCAACAGTGCAGCAGCTTTCAAAGCTTTTATGTTTTTGCTGCATTTGTGTGTCATGAGTTTTTTTGAAGTTCGAGACTTCTTCAATGGTTTTTAAAAGTCTCTCATAGCAGACCAGAAGATTCAAAAGCACTACCGTAAAGGATATTCGTTGACGACAGCCCGTTTCGTGCATTTACACCACCGTGGGCGTGCTTTTTTGAAGCCTTTCCAGCTTTACAGTACGCTACAGCGCGCAGGGAATTCGCAGCTCGCAGCATCCCTGTCCTTTAAACTCTTCCGCATTTCTCATCTTTTTCTCGTCTTTTTTCCTTTTTAATCTTCAGTTCAGGCACTTGCTCATCAGTTACTCGTTCTCCTTTTCTTTGGAGTTGTCCCGGTCGAGCATCCTACAAGTTCTGCTTTGTGGATATTGAAAGAGCAGGAAAAAAAGTTTTAGTACAGTTATTGAATTCATGCTCCTTTTTACATACCATACAAACATTTTCAGAATCGTAAACTATCATCCCGGCATAGTTAGGGGGGAGGGGAGGGGAAAGAATGTGCTTTCTTCATGAGCAGAATGGCTATCATGCCTTCTCCTCAAACAAGACCACTGAAATGTTTATTTTAGCACACCTACATGTCTCCTTGATGTAGAAGTGCTGAAACAGCCGCTTCAGCAGTCTCTCTTGAGAAAAAAAGGCAAATCATTATGAAACACTGAAAAAAACATTGCACTCCCAATCATAGCCACGATATCCGCCATTGCAACTTTGAAGAAAACTCATTATTCCTTCCGATTCTTTCCGGAGCAATGGTTCTGCGTGTATGAGAATGTGTAACTGCCTAAAATGAATTAAGGAGAAAAAACAATGTGAAATACTCAAACAACAAAAAGAAGTTAAAGGACGGGCATGCTGCGAGCTGTGAATTCCCTGCGCGCTGTAGCGTACTGTAAAGCTGGAAAGGCTTCAAAAAGGCACGCCCGCGATGGTTTAAATGCACGAAACGGGGCTGTCGTCAACGAATATCCTTTATAGTCTAAGTGCTCTATTTGCATCATATCAACTCTTGCGAAACAAAGTTTTCAAAAAACAGGCAATTTTGAGCAGGTAAAAATTACAGGGCTAGCATTTCCGTTAGAAGCTTACAGAAGATTATGTTCCAAAAGGTACCATCAGGAATAGCAAAATTGATTCTAATATATTTTCGAACGCTTTTTTTCATTACGCGATTTTCTATAAACGTTAAACGGGCAAAATTTTCGGGGCAGTTCAATACATACGCTTAGAAACCGCTCAAAGACTGCACAGGTACATAAAGTTCGATCACATCTTATGCAGGGCTTAGTCTTTGACTTTCTTAAGCTTTCGGCGGAGACCCATTTAAAGTCCAGATCCGAGGAAAGAATGGCTGTACGATTTTGTTGCTGAAGCATTAACAAACTCATACTCTGACGCTCTCGTAACGTCAGTACTCTTGCCTATTTATGGAAATGTTCCGTTTTGCAGACATTGATCGCTTGAAAGAACAGAAGCGAAATACCGAAAAATGCATACAAGATCTTGAGAAGGATCGCACGACGGTTGAAGAGAGAATTGAAGTTTGTTGCTGAAATTCACTTTCCTTATCTGCCCCTGTATGAATGCCGCCAAATTTAGGAATTGAGAAGGCGGAAGGATGAATTGGATGACAGGCTCAGATTGGAAAATGAACGATTACAGCGACAGGAGCGTACAATACATCAGGTATTTGCACACTGATCGCTTTTCTTCGCTCGTTTTCTCGATTATTTAGAAATTTGTTTTTCGCATTTACTACAGCTGCTGTAGTTTACTCACTTTCAGTAAACAAGAAATATTCAGGGAGAGGTTACTTATGCGAAGTTGTTGGAATCCTCGCAGAGCCTTGTTGATTTCATGAGAAAAGAATACCAGGACACTCGTCGTCAGTAATATCCTCATTGCGTGCGTCCTTTATACCTTTTACCTTTCCATGTACATTATTTGTAATTTAATTCAGCTTACATTATGTACACATCATTTACGTATCTATAGTACTGCTTTAACTCATTTATGAACCCGAACTCACTTCCGTATATGCTCACATTTGATTCTCATAATCAGTCTCTAACTCATATGCATCTCACTTGTAACGTTCAACGTGTATTCCAATTGCGCCTATCTTGCCGAATTAAATTCTTATATATTTATCTTGGAAATAATGTATACATAATTATAAAACCCGCGACACAATATGTCTGTGATACATCAAATAGACGCTGTGACAATCACAGGTGATTTATGACATGGCAGTATTAGAAACTAGATTTGACCGAACCGCAAAGCTCCATCGGAACACCGCTAAGCTGTTGTAAATCGTTGGCGGTAAGGTGCTCAATCACTGATGCTTCCACTTGGCCTATGTACTGAAAGTATGGTCTTTACAATACCAAAGATAGCATATTTCGCAGTATGAAATATGAAATCAATAATCTGTGAAGAATACGTAGCATTCTATTTTGTGGGCACTATCACGTCATTTTTTTCGGTGGCCTAAGGTCATTTTCTATAACTAAGAAGGGGGCCATTGAAGTTGTATATAATAGTGCTTTTATGGATAGATACTCAAACGGTCCCAAAGGCACCGTCACGCTAATTTAAGGGTCTTAAGCTATTCGCAGCATACGATAGTAGGACCCCCTATCAATCACTTCGAAAGCGAGAAAATTGCTCCGGAATAAGGAGGACGCACAGGGATTCCTAGGCGGCACCACCCTCCCCCTCTCCAGTAATGCCCGCCCCTGCCCACCCCCCCCCCCCCCCACCCCTTCGTGCTCGTACATTTGATCACCGCCAGGTGGGTTCTCTGGAACGGAACTGTCGAGGTTTTTGGGATTTCTCGACTTCACATTCGATATCAGGGACATGAGAAGGCCCCGGAACAACAAAAACTTGGAAGCCGAGAATCTGGATGGAGGATGCTTCTAAACGGCAAAGTGTAATGGAAGATATGTTCATACCCCACTTCCTTCTGCTTTTCTTTACTTCTTTCTCTCCCCTGTTCTTTCTGTCACTCATTATACGTTTCGGGCTGTAATCCTGGAGGGGCGAATGGCAGTATCAAGCGCTTTTGATAATGAGAACAATTCGAAGCAACTTTGCATTTGCCATTGTAATTTGTAAAATATTAATTTTTTCGGACAGGTCGAGTGGTCATTTCGAGCTCAATTTCTTCTGAAAGACAAAGCTTGCTTCTTGTTCACAATAAACTCACTGATAAAGTTGGCAGAAGCAAGGTGGACTTCAGCGCTCGAACTGAACGTTGTGTAGGAGGTAGATTCGAAAAGCGCCGCTCTATATGTGTACTGAGTCCTTCAAGTAGGCGATCTCTTACTCGGCTACACATCGCAGCGCCATTTTCCGACAATATGCAGTCTTGAAGGAAAAATTATGTAAGCATCAGCAAGCTATCAGGTGCCAAAGATCAAAAAATAGTTCATACCTTGCTGAAATAGCGAAAGTGCTTTTAGTAAGCAATATTCTTGCTCGGACATGTCCAGCTCAATCATAGGTTTTACGATGAGATCCATAAGTTTCTTGCACACCACCCCATAAGAAGAGATCCACCTGGATTGCGTTTTTGAGCTTAGGTTGATGAGCATATTGAAAATTACCTTTGTTCCATTTGCTTCTGTGCTTCATCATTGTATGGAATATAAGCACCATTTCCAAGAGGGATACCTACAGCTTGTTGATTGAGTTGATAGCATTTGAAAGCGTATGCCATCCAGCCGAATGTCATGAAGTTTTGTTTGAAAAGGCTAGTCTAGAATCACTCATATGAGTTTATCAGAGTGCAACTACAAATGTACCTGATCTTCTAATGAAAGTACTCGAAAGTCCGGTATGCCCATAGCCCAGTCTGCATGCAGAACAAATGCTCGATACCACTGTTTGTAAAGATCATTGGCTTGCATTATTCGAGTGCATGACCAGTCCATCTAAACAGCTATTTGATCCAGATATTTTTTTTTCCATTTTTGCATAGCTGACGTTGTATGCGCATTAGTACTGACCGTTCTAAGATTATTTAACCTTCGAAAAAAAGGAAGGTTAGCAGAAAATCTGCGGATCAATAGTTTTTCAATGACATTTATAGTCAGATTGTCAGGCAATGCCCTCGAGAATGAAAGCAGAGGTAGTTATAAAAATGTGCGAATATCTCATTTTCCCCACTATGAGCATTTGGAATAATTTCCGAAATCTTTTCAAAAACTCAAATTAACTTTGTGAAGATTTTCGGTGCTTGGCTGCAGCCATGCCCCTTTTTCTCTAAATTCCGGAGCTGTAATCTCTCACAATTTTTTAAAAATTACCCTAAGAATATTTTTTGAAGCCGCGCCTAGCTACGGCCATACAGCCGGAGAATTTTTTCCTCGCGCCTTCTTTTCTCCAAAAATTTTTTTTGAAGTCACTATCTAATAGATCTAAAGGATAGTAGTAGGATGGATAGGATAGTATATCATGCTGCCGAAACATTACTGCGTAAAATCTGAAGATGTGCTCTTATGGTCATTTTTACACGTGGATGTTGTTGGCCTAAAAGTATGGCAGTTATTCACGCAATAGCTGTTACTAGCACCATAAGACCCTCATTTCTATTAGAGTCAGGGCTCGGCACGAGGTGGCTTTCCGAAAATGCAAAAAAACGCTTTCGCAAAATTTTACGAAGTCCCCTTTGCCCTAAACCCCTAAACGTAAAAAAAACCCTGAAAAAAAAAAGGTCGACTACAGAAAGCGTAACCTGCAAGCGTAACCTACATAAGTTGTGCTTTTTCTGCCTAAAAACGATATCTCTGCTTTCTGTCCCAAAAACGATATCCAGCTTGCTTATAAGCCACCTGTGCCGAGCCCTAATTAGAGTGCAAGTTTTAGGATACTCGCAGTAAGCATCGCTTGTTTCTAACAAGGAAAGGATACTTGTTCGAAGTGGCGTTCCCATATGAAATGTACACTGTCTTATAGAGCATAAAACGCTAATTCCAAATCTTCTTTCTTTATCTGCAAAGCGCTTCTGGGAGGAGAGTTTTGGGAGTTTTTTTTTTTTGAGGTTAAAGTATAATGATTGGCTAAGATAACAACAGGTATTGAGATCTTTTCGGCGCTTAAAAGGAGTAATGGCTGGCATGAGTTTATTAGATTGAAGTTGTCTACTGCATAAAAGCCCCTGGTAGTAATCATGGCCCCATTTGAGCTCACGCCTAAAGTTTCAAATGATTTTATTGTACCGCGCTTTCAAATTTTCACATGAAAAAATTCCCATAACTCTCCTCCCAGAAACGCTTTGCAGATAAGGAAAGCAGATTTGGAATTAGCGTTTTATGCTCTATAAGGAAGTGTACATTTTATGTGGAAAGCCACTTCGACCAAGTATCCTTCCATTGTAAGGGAAAATACAGTTAACAATGGAACTTACCGGGGATCTCTTTATGACGAGTTGTGGATTTTGCAAGCCAAATGTTATCGAAATATCACGACTCCACTCTCCCATCACATCGTTTCCTTTCACATCATCGTCCGTCAGCATTTCTGTCTGTTTTTCAAGAGCACAAAGAAACAATGTTATGGGGTTTTCTTCGGCTAAAATAATAAAGTCTACAACGATTTGTTGTGGCCGTGGTGAAACTAACGCAGTTGCCTCACAGTCTCCGAATCTGAACATTGCACTTCCGATGGTCTTTCAACTCGTTCCTGTTTGTTTCGTTCTTCTCTTACGTGCTTGGGATTCATACCACCTTCGATGCAATTTCTTAACCGACATGCTCGACATCTATTCCGAGATTCTGAAAAGGTTGAAAGTGTGAAAAGAAAATTGGGTGAAAAATGTCAAATTTTGTCTTTCCGAGTTCTGTAATACAGCTGATTACATTGGGTGGAAGGGACGTTAAAAATCTTGTAAATCTTGTTCAATTTACAGCCTGTGTCACGCGCTACTCCCTTTTTCTTTGTCGTAAACGCCCGCAAGCGCCGCACTACGCTTGCGCGCATAGGCATTCAAATTGGCTTCACCTTGTTGCGCTTATGTACTTTCCACACAAAAGGGAGTCGTGGTTGACACAAACTGTACATTTTATTCAACTGAGCTTTAGCAAGTGTTTTACTGCAGTTGAAAAAATCTTACCATTGTTAATGTCACAATTGTTATCCGCACTACATACGTAATTTCGACCCTCGAACACACTTCTCCTAAAAAATCAACTGATTTTTATCTATAAAATTCTGAATGACATAAGTTCGCAAATACCTTGATTTCAAACTCTAAACTTCCAACATCCATTTGAGGAAAATGTAAGGAAAACTAAGCGAGAGCAAAATTTCTTACAATTACCTAAAAAATGCTTTACATCCATGGCACGAGCTTGCCCCATAATGCACTCTTATGGAATCTTCACTGCCGCAGCCAACACATCGGTCTCGCTAAAAAAATATTTATTTAAAATTATACACAATTATTATGAAATTCACATTTAAAAATGTTGTTATGAAATGAAAATCGGTTATGGACTTTCTTATCAATAAATTAGTGCCTTTGTTTGCGAGGTCTTACCTATTGTCCCTTTCATTGTATGCGACTGTGATAAAAATGCATGGAACTTCCTCCTTTTTTTAAATTTTTTTTTCAAAATTGCCATATAATTCATTTATAAAAGCATGTAGCTTTATTGACTGTGTCACGAACATATGATCATATGATCACAACACAAATAATTTAGTACAAAAAATTATTGATATCTAGCAAAGCAAAATGAGCAGTACTAAAGTTTTTTTTATTTATGAAAGGTAGACCAACCTCGTTTACAGGCATTACTATAGCAGAAATAGATGCATTAATTCCTGAAGATTTCAGGCTCACTAGCAGCTCAGCAGAAATCAGCTTAGACTCGCTTTTTGCCATGACTACGCAATGAGGTTAAATGTGACTTCATCAGTGATCTTTGCCGCCAAAATAGGAATCGTTAATGGAAAGGCTGGCTGGTGAACTTCAAGAAAAAGTTTAAAAAATCAAAAATTATGAAATCGAGCTAAAAGCGTTGTACAATATTTGATTCAAAGAATCATAGTTGAGTATTTATCTCCTTTCCGTTTTTTGATGACATTTTCCACATCTCCCCAAAATTGCAAAATTTCCAAATAATAAAAAACAGAGGTTCTTTTTTCAAATACCAATTTTGACATAATTTAATCGCCTGCTAAATTATTTTCTGAGGATCTGCTACCTCCATTGTGAGGATATCAAATCAAAAATAATTAAAGAAGAATAAATGTTTTCAATTTTTAATGTGTAAATAACCAAATGGCTCCATTTCGTTCCTGCTCTTAGACGGAGTGAAAGTATTTACTTTCCCGGAACTCCTCAGTAAGGAAGGTTTGTAGAAATACATCTATAATATTCTATCTTATCTTACATTTGTCAAGAGGTGAAAAAAATATTCACAATAAATTAATGTACTTTTCACCTTCGACATGTATTTTTACCATGAAACCTCAAGCACAGTTTAGTGATTTGCTCACGAAATGTGAAGAATTTTGCATAATTTCTACGAATATTTTTCAGCAGCACGACTAGCAATCAACAATCTATTCCATATTCATTTTATAATCAATATTTACAGGATATATCGTTCCACTAATTTGTTCGATTTGAATTCCAAAATTCAAAACTTATTCAAATACAATACGAACTTTGACGTTATGCGAGTGATGTTTCCGTATTGCCACTGCAAACATCGGGGGGAGGGGGGGGGGGGGGAGGATGAGAACATGTTCCAGCTGATCTTTGCACCTGCTACTGATTGTGCGAGCAAATTCAAGATATCATCTAGTGATGTGTGATACCAGTTGGGTCAAAGTTTATGTGTAAATAACTTTTGGTATTTGATTCTTTGGCAGTTTGGGGGCAAAAGAAATCTGAAACAGAAGTTGGTGTACTTCTACAAGCATTGTACGGTAAATTTATGATCTGTTTTTATGTAAGAAAATATCTTTTCGATAGTATAATATATAAATTGTAAAAGAGATTTTTCTGATGTAAGAACTGAATGGGAAAATCATAACTAGGCCATCACTGAGGCAGCTAATAAGACCTATTCATGACGAAGAGATTCACTAGGCTCTTGCCCATTACCGTAACCTCGACCCTCGAGAGTGCTGATTGGTCAGCTTGCAAAGAGTTGCTACGCGAGAAGAGTTGAATCTCACGAATGATCCATATGATTACTAATAGAGCATGCATAGAGACTTTTAGTCAAAGTTAATTATTTTTTTTTAACCAGTTCAAGGGAAACTTTGAAGAAACAAAAAAATTCGAAATCATTTTTTATGAAGTGAAAGTTTCATCAGATCGAAATTTTTGGGAAAGTTTGCCTATTTCCACCTTTTTTGACAAAGAAAAATTTCTATTTCCAAGGGTCTAAGATAGAGCGATTTGTTCACTACACTATTTTGACGATCACTCATTCATCAATTTTTTTCAGGAATTAAAGATCACTTTTCTGTCTGGTCTAAATGCCAGTTTTTTTTTTGAAAAGACATCTCCAATTGAAAAATATAAAATGCGATTCCACATAAAAATTTCGCAGAACGTCCTTCTTTGAGTGGAAGAAAAAACTATGTTGTGCGAAATTGCCTTTTTTGCATATTCCTTAAGAAAGTGTTTTTATAACCTGGCAATGAAATACTCAGTTGTTGGAGGTCGTTTGAGACCAAAAGATATGACGCGCGATGACCGAAGTTCATTCGAATGGCTATGGTTTTTGCTCAACAGGGATTTCAAGCCCAAAAACTCTCACCTTCATAGCAAAAATGGGCGATCCATAGGAAGTGCTGGGTGAAACAGCGGCCATATGGGGCGATTCAGCTTTTGTAGTGGTAAAAAACGAATTTTTGCTAGCGAAAGCCATGTGCTGCGCCAGGGCGACAGTCTCTAGCAGTGCGTTGGCAACCGAACCAGGTTGATAGGGTAGCAGCGCTGGCAGAGTCGACGCCGGCGATGTTGGCGACACGGCCGAGACAGATGAAAAGATCATTGACTGCGGTCGAAACATCAGAAGTTCACACGCCTGGGCGAGACAGCGTATGCGGCGCGGACGATCACAGACACTGCAAAATATGCGGGCATACAGTGCTTGCGGCGATGCAAACGGCACGGAGACGAAAATGCAATGAGCGGAAAAGTGCTGAAGAGTCAAACTGATATGATGTCATAGCAACATCCCCTAGGCTATGACGTATCAGAGCTTTTTTTGCAGCAGAAAAGTTTTGTAAAACGCAGAGGAAAAGGATCACACACAGAAAACGCACAAATGACTTTTCGTTCCTACAATTTTCGCGGAAGTATTGGATTAATAAATAGGTTCGGTCGCTTCTACAAATGGTGCAGACAAATTGTTATGTTCTGCATCCCTGATAAGAGCACTCCAATAAAAACGGAATATAAATTTTGTTTGTGTAGAATTCATCTTTCAATAAAAGAAATTCGTATGGAGTGAGAAACCTCAGTTTTCTCATTTTGAGCAAATAGGAAAAATTTGTTTTTTTCTTGGTCAAGAAGCTCTGGCAGATCACAATTTTATCATCATTGCTAAATAGGAAAAACTTGTCCGTATCCAAATACCATATTGTTATTCTCTACGTCCATTACAGCATGAAAACGAAGCTTGGAAGCGGAGTTGAGCTTTTTGAAATTTCGCCATGTTTGGCATAAATGCCCTCTACTGATGATAGAAAATAGTTGGTATGTGATAGAAGAAGCTTCAAACTGCTTCCCTGCAAGAAAAATGGATAAAACAGCAAGAAAAGTATGGAACAGAGCAAACCTTGCTTTCTATGACTGATCACAAAGAAAAGTTAAAGGCTTTTGAGCCGGCGATTAAAAGCACCTTGATCTGAGAAACACGTCTGCGAGATTTAACAAAAGTGTTAAAATGTAGCACTTACGTTCTTGAGAACATCAAGAAAACAGCAATTTTGGTGTGCATAGAATGACTTTAGAATGATATTTCAGTAAAGAATGCAGAGCTTACAGCTGGGATGCTGGGATTAGTGACTCAAACTGAATTGGTGTTGAAATTTCAGCTTCCTCAGATTTTTGTTTCCGAGAGCTTTTTCTTCTTATTGACACGGCATTACTCTAAGTGTTTGTATCTTGATTCTGCATTAATGATTAGAGACTTCTGATTAGTTTTGCATTGTGGACGTAGAGTGAAGCTAGCTCTACAATATGCAATTCAAGATTCCGCAAGAGCTTCAAAGGCAAAACAGCTATAGATGTCTGAGTGAAAGGTACGTTGACATTGGGTCATCCTCAAAATCGTGGTATTGTTTGCTCCAAAAACAATATTTTGAGAATGCACAGGGCAAATGGTACGATTTTCTTGGAATGCTAAAAACTAGACGGAGTACTCATGCGCAAAATCTGACTGAAAAGCGAGGAATACTAACAAAGTTACTACGTTGGGAAGTTAGGCTCAAAGACTTTTGGGACACCCTGTATTTCTACAGCAGCAAAAACGAATCGTCAAAGAGAAGCGATTAAACCAACAGATTTAAATGGAAATGGCGAGAATGCGAGGTTTTTGGTAGTGATCTACAGGCAGGGGGGGGGGGGGGGAGGAGGGGCACGCGCGAAATGCGCGCAAAATGCAAGGAGTGTAAAATTGCCCCTGCTAATTTTTACATAATTTTAGTTGTGACAGAGAGTCTTGTATCTGTCGCCCCCCCCCCCTCTCCACCCTCCCCCCGTACCGTGGCGCCGTATCACTTTAGCGTTAATGAGTTTAGAAAGCACAAAACATGAGGATTGTCGCCTTCCGCACCACACCCATCTACATGTGTAATAAAATTTTGTAAGTAACGTTTTTGATGTTCAAGAGTTCCTGAAAATATTTTTCGGTGGAGGGGCTGTGCGGGAATAACGAATTTTTTCGCTAAAAGCAATCCGTCGCTCAAATCTCTGAACTTTTTCCACAAAGATTCTCAAGCCAAGCTTACAACACTACATTTTTTCCTTGTATGATAGCAGCTATGCTCTCAGAAAGAAAAACAGCTAATAAAAAACCCAAGTTAGCTGTGTAATGCTGGCACATCTTTTTTTAGCTTATGTATCTTTAAGCTTATCCAAGAAGCATTGCAAAAATTTGTTAAAGGAAGCGGTTGCCTTTTCATTTCACCAGAAAATTTGGTTCCCCTCCAACTCCAACAAAAAAATTCGGAGATATCGTTAACTGTTATCAGCTGACCTCATGAATTTGCTGGGTGAAAAGTGGCTCTGAGGTACTTGGAGGTTACAGAAAAGCTATTTCTCGTATCTAAGGATTGAGAATGCTGACTAATAGTGGGGCAAGCGCAGGCATTTGAGCTGTGATAGGTTGCTTGACCGCTCGCTCCACGCCCATATCTACCCATCATCAGAAGCGATGAATGGAACTTTTCGCAGTTGTGGCATTCAAGGCACAGTTCTGGATTTACTGCACATTTGCAGGAGGTCCGAAAAATGGAAGACATAGGAGAATCAAAAATGAAATTTTGCCGTGCCTTGAGGGCTATAAATCAAAGATTGCAATAGATATTTCATTTTTTGCAACAAATTTGCTCGGATATCACCAGAAAACAGCATAACCGTGAAAAGAAAAAAGAAAGTTGGTCGATTACATACACATTATATGAGAATTTTGATGCAAAAATAATCAAATAGGAATCATGTGGATTATCAAAGTCAAGAAGCATCGTGCGTATGTAGAGAAATGTGCAGAGAAAACATGTCCATACGTTTGCAATTGTTCTCAAGATCATCCTTATTCGTTAAAATATCAAGAGCGATAAAACGGTAATACCAGTCAAGGAAATTCAGATCTTTGATCGTTGATGACCTTCAGCGGCAGTTGTTACGTAATGAGAACTGTTGAGAACACTGATATGAGTGTAGGTGTGTAATTTTGCTTGAAAGTGCTGGTATAGCTATATTTTGATCATTTAAGGTGGGGGGGGGGGGGGCGAAAAGATGCAGGAGCGCAACTATTAGAGACTGACGAGACTTTTGCAAACGAAAACAGTTGTACTCTCGAAGGTATGCATACTTCTAAGCGAAACCGGTTACTTTACGACAAAATTTTGCTCGTGAAGAGAAATGATCTCGTCTTTGACGTTCTCTTGAACCTTTCATCTTGCCGTCAAAATGGCCACGTCTCTAGTGTAAAGAACCTCCTACAGTAGTTGTAAAGATGAAAAGTTCAGAGTAGAAAAGCGAGGAAGAAATGTTTGTCCAAAAACTACGTTTGTAAAAGACTGGATCGCTTTGCAAAGGGCAACTTTTTACTTACACATGAATTTGCAAAAGAGAAATCGCTGCAGATTCACCTTGTTTCTGGTAACAGGCTACTCATTCCAAAAGCTTTTTCGTCTATGATCGGTGACTTCGGGGGAAAAAAAGTTTCCTCCAAAAGTTCAAATGCGAGTTTTAATCAGTTACTGGAGTTATAATGACTTGATAGTCGCCAGAAGGATGATGACAACCGTGAGTTACATCTCTGAACAAGAAGCTTCCATAATTCTTGGGTAAAACCATAACAAATCGATTGTCTACGCAACCATCCCATTTTGGCGCCAATCTTGCGTAAAAGTAGAATTTTGGTTCAATTCTTGGGCCGGAGTCTATGGTTTGCGGATCTACTTGTTAAACAAATCCACGACTTCGGAGAAACTTTGAATACAGGCCCACTTTGGCGTGCCAAAAGTCGCGTGGATCCGTTTGGCACTAAGTTTTTACAGGTTTCAATTATCGGATCGGCTTGTGCTTTTGCACTGTTTACCTATATGCTGATGGGGTGTCACTATTAAAATTCTAGCTCGAGACGTTTGCTGTAACTTGCTCCATGAATTTCGTGACAGACAGAGATTCACGCACACACACACAAACGTAAACAACCCTTAGCCCGTTATTATAAGTTATGATAAATCTTGCACAAAAAATTATGGAAGATTATTCCGAATGCCTAAGAACTAATTTTCGAATTGTGCTCATTGTTGTGCATCAAACGGAAGGCATTTGAAACAAAATAAAACATAAATAAAAAAGTGAAAATGAAAACATGACAATTTGCAGAGATGCTTGATCATTAAGACAATTTGAAAAAAAAGACTATTTTTGGTCAAAATGGGTAGGTCATAAAACCAAACAAATTTGAGTTAGGTTTTAGGAAACGCTTTAGCAATTTTAGCGAACAAAATTTGCGCAGACCATTTCTGAGGGGTTTTCATGATCATCTTGTGTCGTTTCCATTACCAAAAAAGAATTTCAATCTAGGCGTTTCTGGAGAATTCAGGGTAGGATAAATTTCCTTTTAAATTATTTACCAGTCAAAACGATTTTATTGAAGGGGGAGATCACAAAATTCCAATTGTTTTGGTGCAAGAGTTACCTACATGCATCTTATTATCATCACTTCGCTGATTAGAGTTTGACACAGCTTATAATTCGAAATTCTTATATACTTTCATAGAACCTTTTTCAATTAATTGACAAGGTCTTGTGTGCATCATAAAACAATAATACAGTTCTTATAAGAGCAAGATGAGCTTCATAATTGCACGAAAACCTTTATATTGAGGGCTTGCGGTTTTTCCTGTAACAAATTTAGGAACCGTTGCCACCAAAAAAGTGTAGGCAGCATAAAATTAATCCGATGTCATTTTTATATGGCTGGCATACCTCGTACGATTTCGTCACGGTATTTGGCAATGTTCCAGATGTTAAGAACTCACCGTAAAAGCAGGAATGTATAGAATAGGGGGCCATCTAGGGTTTGCTGGCAGTAGATATGGCATCTGACCAAATGCCTGATAGTTTGGCGGCTGAAAGCGCGCGAGCCTGCTCCGCCTATTGGGAACGCGCTATACTTGATCCACTTAATCCACTTGATCCACTTGATCCACTTCACTATTGGACGAATTATTGATTGGTCCATTCAGCGAGGTGCACGGAGCGGATCAAGTGGATCAAGTATGGCCTGCGCATTAAGAAGACATTGTCGTGCTTTTGAACGGTTCATGTTCATAGAAAATCAAGCGTCTTTTTATTCGCTCAATCTCTGGCACTCAGA